CTTTAATACTTTTGAAAAAAAAAAAAAACTTTTCGAAATTAAGAACTATATCCATTACGGGAGCGTATATATCTTGCCTGGTCAAATGTGTCGTACAACGATTATATGATCGATAAAAATACACCCTTTCCAAACAACGACAATAAATAAAAACCTAAGGGTGGATTCTAGGGACGTAATAAATAACAGTAGCTAACGCAATTATGTGCTATATAAAAGGCGAACGCACACTTTTCTTTCCCATAAACCGTAGAAAGAATATCGAATCACCAATTATGTGCAACTAATAAGAAAGAGGTACAATTTCAAATAAAATTATTAAAGAGACAAATCCATCACGTAACAGCGGCAAGTTTAATGGAAAGAAAATTACGAATTAAATTCTGGTGGAAAATATAATGCATTAATGCACATGATTTACGATTCTCTGACGATTCTTGCGTTTGCGAATGTTTCCTAGCTGACAGCATTTTGTGATCGGTAGATCCGTATCGCAATATAATCCTGGTTTTAATCCCCCCGGATGATTCTCATTGTTGTGTTTCATCGAACTTGTCTCTGGGAGGATCTTCTCCCGGAATTGCTGGGATTTTCCTGAATTATTATGCCACTGTAGAGGAGCGACTGGAATATCCACCGAGAGAATTCCACAGGGAATGGATGTTTTATAAAAATATCGGGATGGAATAAGCTGTTATTGTTATGAATACTGAGAACGTGATATTATCTTTTTTCCCTAACTATTCATAGGTCAATATTGAAAAGCAGAGATGCAAAATAATTTCAATATATTCGAGATGAAAAAATATCTTTTTCCGATAAAACATTTTTAATAAAATAAAAACAATCACTTTAATTATTCTGTACCTACGTACTTGCTGGAAATATTAAATTTACCTCTCGTGCGAAAAATAAGTATTTTATAAATCTTTCTCTCTCTTTCACTCCAGACACATTTTTTTCTTATATTTTCAAACTAATTAAATTTTTTCCATGTATTTAATAAAACGTACGTCCTGCACATGCATATAATTTCTTTCATTATAGCCTAGTTTTGTGATAAAAGTCGATTCCGCGCAAACAGCAGTGCTATTATTATTGCAATTACCGCATTTCCACTAGCGCGAGCAATCGGTCGTGCTAATATCTTGCGGGCATTAAAACGAGCGTTAAAACGAATCGATTGAACGATCACGACAATCGAAGAATGTAAAAGCCCCGTTTCTCCACGACGCTCTCCGCTGCCGCATGGTGCTGCTGCCAATGTGAGGGATCGTTACGATTATTACGGCACCATAAATCCACGATATATTTCACGGTGGCGAAATACACTGCTTATTTTATTCGATCGTTTATATCCCGCTTGAGCTACGAGGCTCTTCTCCACATGCGTGTAAGTACAAGCCATAGATGATGCAATGACGCTGTTATCCATTTTCTGATTTAATATGTAAAGCGAGATTATTTCATATATTTCGATATTATGTGTGCATATGCTTTTCGTAATTCAATTAATTATGATAATGACTGCGCATGCACGATAAATAAAGAAGATGTAGATTAAAAGAGATATTAAAGGATTTTTTAAATTTCTTTAACATAAATTATCACTTTTTTTCTATGATTTGATTTTCTCATTTATAGTTTACCTCACTCGAATTCTTGTGTTTTAATAATTCCTACTTATTCGCCGTTTTAACGACACATTTGGTTAAGTGTTTGCCGTTTTGTAGAAGCCCGATAACTGGTAGAAAGTCAGACGAAAATAATCGTAACTCTTTCCGCGCTCTCATCGTGCCCTGGTGGAAATTGCGGCATATACGAGAGGCTAACGAGCTCGTTGACGAAATTTTCGTCACTATAGCACCATGGAGTACCTAATTTCGTCAGAATGCCGGGCCGAGAACACTTGTTCCACTTTTGTTGGAGAACCAAACCGCGGTTGCGCGGAAACCGACATAATCTGTTCTTCTTTTGCCGAGCAAATTTTATCATAACAATAAAAATCTCACCTGTTGCAACACGTTTCATAAATAAATTTAAATACACATTTTACGCGCGGCAAACTTTCTCACTTGTACGGTAGTATTTTTGCATTTTAATAACTGGATATTATTAATACATATTTATATGTACGTATTACTTTAATTATGTGTATTTGCAATTTTTTAACATTTGTTTGTATGTCAAATATTTGTATTACTATCAAAATCTATAACATTGATTGGAAATATTAAATCGGTTATCACAACTTTACCAAATTATTATAAAATAACGGCACATCGTATTGACGGATGTTTTAATGGATCCTATATGAGGATATCATTCAACTACACAGCTGCCGTAATATTTTCTACGCGTGTTTACTGCGAACGGATGATTGCCGTTTAACAGTAAATCCGTTTATATCGCGGAAGGGATATCTCTCTCGCGAGAGGTGCATATCGCATATGGTCGAGAGATCACTTTCGCCGATCGTTGAATTTTGCGAAATTATGCTGGGAACTCGAAACGAGAATCGATTAACCATCGCGTGCCAGAGGCAAAATATATCAGGCACATATCGTGTCACTGTTCACTGTCGCTCTCGTGCGTTTCGAGTACTTTCACGCCATCGGAAATGCAGGTCTATATGCAATTTCGAGAGAGAAGGAATTCTATGTCAATATATACATATGTGCATATATATATATATATATATATATATATATATACTATATACAAATATATATATAAAACTAAGAAGTCACCAGTTGATAATTAAAAATGGTAATAATTTCATCAACCATATCTGGCTATAAGTAATATTTATTAAACTTTACGACGTTTCGGCCATGGGTTTCGACCCTTATCAAGTGCTATAAACAATTAATATATAATTAAATTGATAATATTACAAAATAATACGAATTAGGTGCTTAACTATTAATATACCAACCTACGTATTATTTTGTAATATTATCAATTTAATTATATATTAATTGTTTATAGCACTTGATAAGGGCTGAAACCCATGGCCGAAACGTCGTAAAGTTTAATAAATATTACTTATAGCCAGACATGGTTGATGAAATTATTACCATTACTATATACCTTTCAAGGCAAATATCTCTTAATAGTTTAATTAATGCTTTCTAATAAAATTCCGTTGATTATTTATAATTATAGGAGCGACAGTAGGCGCGTTTAGCCTCCTCTAATATAACAATATAAATCGCTTGCGTTACGCGTCTTTGAACAAAAGCTTTGTAGCTCTTATTAGAGATTTCCGGCTTATCTCGGATGGCCGGAAAAGGCCAAGACGAGGTGTCAGTTTCTGCGGCGATAATGCCGCATTCGTTACGTTATCGCGAGCGAAATTGCATCCGCGCGCAAGTCTGCATAGTTCGTCGCGCTTACCAAGCGTGGTCACGTTGTAACTGTTGACATTTTCGTACACTCCGTTCCTGGAGTCGTGACGGAGAATACCGACGCAGGATAGAAAGGACGTTGCGTAAAACGTGCGCAGCATTTAAATGATTCCGAGTGTGCCATCGCGAATCGAGTCATCGCTCATGAGGACGATGATTGGAAATCGATGATGAGAGATGTCCGATTGCAGAAATACTCAATTTCGATCATTAAATCGCTCGTTTCGGAAAGGACGTTCTGAAATTCTTAAATTAGACAGTACCTCGGAATAACTCGTCATTTTCAACTCGCGCATTCGTTTTCTGTGAAACTTATCGATTATTTCCCCACCTTAAAGATAACACCGTTCTAAAATTACTTTTCTTTCAGTAAAGTTAGAACTGTGTCAATCAAACTGCGACAATTAAAGTTTTATATCGTGTAACGAAAAAATAGAAAACAAAATTATATAATCTTACAAAAAGCGATTGCTAGACCAATTGATCTCTTTGGACTAAGGTAAAATGAAAATAAAAATCAAGAGCAGATTGTGGTAAAATAATCTAGATTTTTAACAATAGTAAACGCGGGACAGAAAGAACCGAATATTTGTTATTTGAGTGGATGAATCTCTGTCGCAATCCGGCTTTTACTATCGACTATGCGCGTCGAGGAGTTTTAAATTACGCTGGCATTGTACGAGTACAATGTCCTATCGGTGTGTGTTTAAAAAGACAGGAACAAAATCGCGCGTATTTCCGAATTTAAAACGAAATCTATAATATAATCATGATTATTGCAATTTTAATAAATTTAAATGTGAATTCATCTTTGGAAGTTTATCGAATGAAAAAAGTGGAGCGTTTCCGATAGAATATATCGATATCGTTAATGAAGCAAAATAATTTAAAATGAAAACATTTTTATTTTATTCATATCCTAACTGAAATGAATTTTTCATATTTTGTGTTTCAACAGAATCGACACACACGTTGAGTAATATAAAAGAAAAATCAGAATGTTTCAAAGAGAAATAACATATGATGAAACATCAATCGTGATAAAATTTGATATAGAGATGTACATGTATATTGATGTAACACTCTATTATTTACTCTCTCCTATGCAAATGTCAATCAAGCAAAATTTCAAATCCATAAAATTGAAGTATCTTAAATTAATAAACGACGTTATATATATATTGCAATAGTATATAATATATTATATATTACTGTATGACATTTAAAAATTGGACATTTAAATTGATAAAATATCTTCTATACAAATATGTCATACAATGTTAATATTTTCAAAATCAAAGTATCAATTTATTTCGAGATCAGCACAATTCTTTTTTCCTGAAAATATAAAAACTCTCAAAGTGTAAATATTGGAATCGTTCTTCTCAGCTTATTGATTGCTCAAGTTTGAGACTATTTTAAACTTAGCCAGTTCGCGAATAAAGAAACGAGGTGAAATATAGAGATTTATATCCATTCGCTTCCTTAGGGTGCGAATGCGGAAAGGAAGCGCAAAGAAAGATTCCCTATAATGTATGCGCATTCTCGCATCTTCACGTTCGCACGAAACGAAACGAAACGAAACGAGACGAGACGAGACAGAACGGATGCATACGACGATGCACACTGCGCGAGATTCCGTGCAAAATGCGACCGCGTGCGTATCACGAACGTTGCGTCCAGCCGTCTATCGGAAAAGGAAGCAGAAGAGGAAGAGAGTCGTACATGAAAATTACATACCCCGTTTGTGTGACTTGCGCTTAAAAGGCCTCGGACGAATAACTGTAGTCAGCTAAAAGCCTCTTGTACGTCAATGCCACGTTTACATCTCGTAGCCTACATGGAAGTGTAATACTTTCCCATCATTTCTCGGTAATCACTCGCTTTGTTACACAATTGTCGTAGAAATGATACAAATTAATAGACGGATACACGGGCACTTTTTCCGACAATTTTTTCATTGATTTTTGTGTTATTAAAAAATTTATTACAATCATCCTTCCGTTTTCGCGCAATCGCAATCGTGATTTATCTTATAAGTACCTTAACTACGATTAATGAATCATGATAAAATTCACCTTAGCTGCGATGAATCTCTTCGAGAACGTTTCTGCCATAATAAGCATACATCACTTCCCATCTGATCGGCACCGATTATATTTTCTTAAGAATACATTAAATACATTCAAGATAAAACTTGAAGCGGAAATATACAAAAGGAGCTGTTTTTTTTTTAGTTTACACATCACTGTGATGCATTTTCACTGCACTTTTTATTTTACACCGTGCGATACGAAAAGTTTCACTATCGCGTTATTTCTACCGTCACTTTTCAAAAAAAAATCACGAACGCGCGCGATGCATCCAGAAAAAATTTCCAATATAATCCTTTTCAAGTTTAAGCGCCTAGCTTCACAATCCATCGAGAAAAAAAATTCGAACGTCGATAACATCAACAAGAAATTTTTAGCGCTTTAAAACGGGTATATTAATTATAATTCAATTTGATTATTGTAGAATTAAACCGATATATATTTTAATATAAAGCTATATTTTTCAGATTTTTCACGATTAAAATAAGGTATTTCTCGTCAACTGGAGAAAAAAGACCGGTCGACCTTTAGACGTTAATGATAGTCGGAATGACATTTGCAACTGCAACTCCTTTACCTCGTCAACCAATTCGAACGTAAGTATGTGAAGAAACTAAAGAATAAATTTGTTATGCGCACAAAAACATATTTAAATTAAATAAGTGACAATCAATAATAATTTATCATTTATTTTAAATTGAAACTCAACTAAAAAAATGCGAAAAGAAACAAAGCACAAGTTTTAGCATTATTTAACTGAATTGTTCCTTAATATTTTTATTTAAAACTTTGCAGTTTTTATAACTAAAAAAAATTGAAAAAAGAGAATAATAATGATACATATAAAATTTTCACATAATGTTACTTGATAACGTTATATTAATGTTCTTTTATGAGAATATATTGTGCAATTAAATAAGAGAATGCTTACTGTTACAAAGAAGATGGATAAAAATAAAGATTAATTTTATATTTTTGCTTCAGTATTACAAACTAATCTTATATATTGTATAGTAAGAAAAGCACAGTTATCAATTAAATATCAAACACAATCAATTTCAATAAATGACATATTTTGAAAAATAACTGCTCGAATTGTTGAAATTTGCATCAGTTGCAGCTGAACATTTACAGTACGACTATATGAATATAGAAAAAAATAGCATAGTACATAAAACAAGCTCGTAAAATGCACATCTTTCTCTGTGATATATTTTTTTCAATTTCCGAAAAGCGAACAAATTAAATATTTACGAAGATTTGCTTGAAATATAATGTTGCTGTTACAAACATGCATAAATTTTAAACTAGAGCTTTCAGTTATTGCTTGAGTAAAGTTACTTCGATTTTCTGTTTTAGAGTTTCACGAGAAAACTGTTGCAACTACCATTTTATTTGAGTGCTACGTCCTCGTACGCTATCACACATGTCACGAACATTTTTCAACTCAATTGTAAAAACGAGTAATATTAAAAAATTCACTCAATATACGGAATTGCGCGCGACAATTTTTAGGAAAAAAGAAAAACGTGCGATGGACACTATCATTCATTGGACGATCCAATATTTCAAGGTCGAGAGATCAATCCTTTCAAAATCACGATTCAATCTACAACAATCGCGTCATATTTCTGGGCCAACTATCGATAAATCAACCGTAGCACATGCATCTGAAATGTCATCTCTCTCAGCGCGATTGAATTGACGAGTCGTTTGTCCGATGGAAACGCATGAATTTCATTTGTGCGATCGTGTAACGGTGTACACCGTCAACGGTAATTAATTAATTGGAACTATTATTAAAGCGTAGCGACTAGTGCAACGACAACCACCAGATTTTCAATCGCGCATTGTATTCTCTATCACTACGTGATGCATTCACTGACAGACAGTCACCGTAGAAATATGCGTTACTCGATCAAATCATATGGTCCGCGCAACGGAGACGGTCATCGTTTGGAACGCGAGGAAGCCGAAGCACCGGTGAACGCGCGACTGGCCCGAAGGACCCGGTAAGAGGTCCCTTTACTGTGCCGAGGCCCGATCATACGGCGAACGCACGGCGCGCTCGCTAATGGCCAATGGCGCACGGATAAGAGGAAAGGACGTAGAGGATCCTAGGAAGGATCCTCGCGACGTCAAAAAAAGAGAAACTCGATGTGACGAGTGAAGCCGAAGGAAGAGAATCGAAAATCGATCATCGAAGAGAAAAAAAGAGAAAGAGAGAAAATAATCGTAAGAGGGAGAGAGAGAGAGAGAGAGAGAGAAGAGTGAAGAAAGGAGGGGGTGGAGGCGAGTTTGGCAGGTCGAGCACCTGGGCGACATTACCTCTTCGCATCTTCCGACTGCTCTAGGCACCTTCGTTCTCTCTTTCTTTCCTTTTTTCTCTCATGTGCTGTCGTTTTATCCAAATTCTAGTGTATGCATCGAATGCAATAATATACTTTTGATAGCGAGTTAAAAATTTTCAATTGTCATTTTTTCTTCTCTATTACGCTGTAATTATCTTGTTCATTGATCAATTAATATTGCTATGGATGAAGCTATTCATTGCCATATTTATCAAAAATTTAATTAATGAATTATTTAATATTATTTTTCGTAATTACTCAATTATCGCAGAAATTAATTTTACTTAATTGAAAATTGTTATTCAAATACATTACATGGCTTAAAAATTGTTTGATTTTAATAAATGATCAAATTTTATCATAAATATTCGATGATTGCGATTGATCTGCGCGCTCACTTTAATGGATCGTTATATTATTGTTCTATTTCAATTTGTGTTACGCTTTGAACTTCACTGCCAGTACTGAAAATTTACGTTACATATATTACAGATTTCCAGTGCTGGCAGGGAATTTTGAAATGCAGCCTTTGATACAACATCCTGTCAGAGGACGCGCCTTATTCCGTCACGGAAGATCAAACGCGCTTCATGTTTATGGTGATCATTAAACTGAGCGATGCTATATATAATTACTTTTGTATCTTCTTGTTAATTTTGATATCGTTTATTATTTTGCGCTTATTCACTGTGACTGTCATATTAATATAATTTAAATATAATTTACAAAGTATCTCAAAATTAGCAAAAATAGAGTTATATCTAATAATATTTAATCAATTTTTGCTTGAAAAAATCACAAAGTATTAATTCTATGCATAAATTATCAAGATATATAATATTAAAATTTAAGATATAATAGAGATAATTGTTAATTTTCTTTTTTATATACTAAAAAACTGATTGACTGAAATCAACATACTGTGACTCTTTTTTAATCAACTGCTGGACACACTATGCAATGATTGTTTTGCATAGCATTTTTTTTTCATGACAGTGATAGTTTGTATTCTCTCATGCATGATTTGCGAATTTTCTTCATTTTTCAACTTATTCGTTCATTTTTTGAACGATTCAGTTAAAAAGTAAATTCCGTGCAATTCGAATAAACTTCACACACTAAATGCTTTATTTATATGTCTCATATTCCTATGTAAGAAGCGTAACATAAGAGATTAAAAAAATACATTGTAATGCGCGTTTTGTTTCTAAAGACACAATCAGTTATTCAGCCTTTGATTCACATCACCCATGATTATAAATATTTCCGTGAAATAGGGCAATATCGTAACACGAGACATTCGAAACTACGTTTAGTAGCAATGAAAGAGAGTTAAAGGGATTTGTTAATAAAATCTCTCCGCTATGAAGTGATAAAATCATTGGGATGAATCCTCTGAAGAGTTTCTGGTAGAAGTATACACTTGCCACCTGTTATGTACATTTCGAGGTTCATATGTAATACTTTGACTGAATCATTCTTGACTCTAGGAAATAGATTTTATTTTTGTTCCTCGTAGTCTCTCTCCTATTAAAGGAAGAGATTAAGGAAATCGAGATATATATCGGAAGAAGGTGATTGTACGTGTCCTGTCTTACAATCACGAGTAACGAATCCGTACCTGGCGCCATGGTGTGTGCCATGGGATGTATGTGGTTGCACATTGACCAGTCTCCGGTCTGGCTGCAGCTGCGAACCGGTTATATACTTTCATCTGGCAGTCTTAGCACGGTGCCTAAAAGAGAATCCGATGACTATAGCTTGCGATGCACGAGACGTGCGAGGAAAAGAGAAAGGAGAGAGATGGTGGGAAAGGGGTTAATGCCTGAACCAAGGCACGCTTATGCAGCGAAATAAAGGACATCGTCTCTCTCTTCCCCCTCTCTTTTATTTTTTTTATTTTAATTTGACATTTCTTCTGATATACTGGAAATACTCTTTCAGCGAGAAAAGAGAGTTGCATACTTCATCATGAGTGGACGATCGAGAAACTGGACTCGAGCTACGATATGAAGGTAATATTTGATGAGATCGTATGACGGTCAACTCTGATTATGATGGAAACCGCATCCTGTTTGGCTGATAATATATACATATCCGACGCATATTTGCCAGCTAACCGATTGTAAACCAATAATTTTACAGTTTTGTCAAATGCGAAAGCAACATTGAACTAACGATTATTCTTGGAAAAATATTAAGTGTATTTTTTATGAATTAATTGTAAAAAATAAGTCTGTATTATATGTATTCTTTGTGAAATGAATGAAAAAAAATGTTAACATAATCTTCGCGAAATGGCAATCACTAAATCATGACTTTTTTTTATTCTGTTAGTTCTTGTCGCAAACGAAAAATGAAGAAAGCAGTTCATCGAGTTGCAAAGAGACGCGGTACGAGATTAATAATTTATCTTCTGTCACTTAAAAGAGTACAGCTGTAATAACATACGAGGATGAGAGAATATATAAGATAACAGCAAAGAGAAAAGGAGAAAGACGGGAAAAATTGATGCGTGCATTAAAGCACGTTTTCTTTTTGTTACGATTTGTACATTGTCGCGCTTCTTTAGTATATTGAATATTAAACAGCGCAGGCGAATGATTAATAGTATTTTGACATGATAAAAAGTGACATAATTTCTAGAAAATGAAGTTTGAGAGAGACAATTAAACTTTATGCTAGAATAGATAATATATTCATTAATTGCAAGAGAATCAGACCGTAGAAGCAAACGAAGCAAAATACGAATGGAGCAAAGAAATAAATTAGAGCAACAATATCGAATTTACAATTCTCTTTTCTACAAATAGATATTTCCAACTTCTAAACTGTGAGAAAACAATATTTGCGATTCATAAATTAATAAATTGATACATAAACATATAGACTACATAAGAAACTTCAAACGTGCCTTTATATCATTCTACGCGATGACATGTTCTTTCAGAATCATTGATATGTTGTTCCAATTTTATTTAAAGAATTTTTTACGCACTGTCCACCGTATAAGCGATGTCAAGGTCTACTAGCTGGCAATTAATGTTTGAAAAGAACGTGTAGGCGATAGATTATGAGCAATTGATACAGAAAGCCTTGAGACGCGAAATGTATGACTAATATTTGAGGAGAAATGTTCAATGAAACCGGTTGGAATAAATTTAAGATAATTGCGAAAAAAATATATTTAAATCAACATAAGAAAATAAATAATTCATATATGCGATTAGACTTATATCCTGATAAATATATATATATATATATATATATATATCTTTGATCTTAAAATTTAATTATTGATAGAAATTATTTTCCACTATCGACGTCTTCAATGCTACTTTTTTTAAATATATTCTTTTTTAAACTTCTATATATAGTCATATTTTTATTGTGTAATATATTTAGTGTAAAAAATATAATATATTGTAACTCTTTAAACATTTAAAGTCATAAGAAAACAACTTGTGACATCTGACATTCAAGGTTGAAAGTAGAAATTACTTCATCGGTTAGTCAGGTTCAACTAACTTAACTTGCAGTAGGTATAAAACATATTGTTACAAAGCCCAATAAATCACATTTTTCTGTATCTAAACATGTATCAACCTCTATCACAAATTTTTGCGAATAAATGCAATACTATTTCTGTGAACAAATGCAATAGCATTTGTTGATAGCATCTCTTGCAGATAATGTAGAATTTTATGATATTGATACTAGGACAAGCTAATTCAAAAATCAATTTTTCTTATGTCTTTATAGAATTTATATGATTTAATATAATGACTTAAATACATATTATGCACAAGCAAGATATTATTTTAGATATATACCATTGACTAAAATTATTATAAAAATGCATAAAATCAAACAATTACGATAAAATTCAAATTCCTTGCTTACGTTCTTATTTCTTATCCTTCCTACATATATACATTAATTATTTTTTTCAGAATATATTATTAATCTTAGAATATGCATTTTTAGAATCAATTTTTTTCAGATAATATTCCCAGATAGCCATAGTAATTATTATGACATCATTTTGATGCCAATATATTATGTGTGTAGTATTTTTTATATTTCTTAACAAGTATGTCTGTGCTCGTAGATAATATTTGTGCACATCTTTATAATAAAAAATTTTAATTAATTCACTTTTCTAAATCTCGTTCCGCAGCCATGCATTCTACAACTAATTTATCGCATTAATATAAATATGTTATAATTTGATTCGAATCTAAGGAATATTAATCGCAAATTATCACGCTGATAATGATATGCACTACCGTGTTTCTTGCGCGAGTCGTAAGAAGACAAAGACGGTAAGTGCCCTATACAAAATATATCTTCCCTGCAGAGGCGGTGAGAGATGTAGTATTTTTTATATTTCTTAACAAGTATGTCTGTGCTCGTAGATAATATTTGTGCACATTTTTATAATAAAAAATTTTAATTAATTTACTTTTCTAAATCTCGTTCCGCAGCCATGCATTCTACAGCTAATTTATCGCATTAAATAATATATGTTATAATTGATTCGAATCTAAGGAATATTAATCGCAAATTATCACGCTGATAATGATATGCACTACCGTGTTTCTTGCGCGAGTCGTAAGAAGACAAAGACGGCGAGTGCCCTCATTGTCCCTATACAAAATATATATCTTCCCCTGCAGAGGCGGTGAGATGGCACAGGTGACCGGAGGTTCCGACCAGGGGGAAAGCCCCCTGTGCACGCCTCGGGGAGCACGATGGGCTGAATTTAACTTGGAACAACCGTACGTTTTGTGGTGTTCTCTGTGCACGGTCAGTGCTCACGCCACAGAACGAATGCCGGGCAACGATGTGCGCTCTCTCGACGGGAACCACGCTGGCTTCGTTCGAACCTTCAGTTTACTATCGTAAGCTCACTCGGACAGGTGAGCGCCGCGCGTTCGCGGCCGATCGGCCAATGACACGAAAATTCGATAGACTCGATACTTTTATTTCGTCATAATCAAAGAAATTTAATTTTATCAATTCGTTATACCTGTATTAGATTCAAGAATTACAATCAACGTTACGTGCGAAAAGGATCATCTCAAAACAGTTTCATTCGTTCAATTAAATCGTGAACACTTTTTTTCGTTTATTGTGACTTAACAATATGGGTTTGTGAGGATTCCGTTTTAAACTTGATCTATTTTAAATGCGGGGATTAATGCTTCATTTAATTTTGATTCTCGTAACTGTTCATGTCAGCAATTTGAGCGATTAAATTATGATGGACTCATCAATTTCTGTCATTATGCAGTGAAATAACGATATGGTAATTATGTGAAAACAAATATCATTAACTGAGTATTTCATTGATAATTTAGTGTAAAAAGGTGGTAACAATAATGAATTAATTAACTCAATTTAATTCGTGAAATATGTAGTTTAGTCGGACAAGTGTATAAACACATTTTCTGCGCTTAAGTCATTACGCTAACGTTAGCGCCAACAACGTGTTGCGGTAAAACGACTGTGTGAAATAAGACATTCATTTTCATACTAAATCAATTTATGTTTCCGCCATTAAAATATACGTATGAACATTTGGGTAAGTATACTTTTAAATAAATATTTAAAATTCCGCGTTTGCAATCATAAAAATTGATCTAAGCCTTGTCCTATTATAAGTTTTGGAATATTCTTGTACATTGAATGTTCAAATTTTTAGCTTCTTAATATTTCTTGTAATAATAAAAATGCATGAACGTGCGTATCTTGTAAACAAAAAATATATTTAACTGATATAATTGAGGAGAGATTTTAAAATAGCTATATAACTAGAAAAAAGTATAATATCAATGTACAAAACTATTCAATAAGATATTTTTAAAAACATTTTTTCGTATAACGTTGCCGAATAAATACTTACCGTAAAAAATACTAGAAGTGTGTCTAAATTTGTCGCAATTTCGCAGAATTATATTTTATATAGAATCTGTGCCATCTACCTATTGTTATATTTTAATTGATCATTCTTTTTATCGCCGTATTTTATTGACTGTAAAGGGGCGTGTACGATTTTTGGAAAAGTTCCGGAGAACTTTTAAAACGTGACATTGACAGACAGTACGCCTATCACAGAGTCGACATGCTGGTACGAATTATGCCGGTGTAGAATCTCACGAATCTGACGTGCAATTAATGCTTATCTGACACCACTATTGAAAGATTGAATTCGCGGAATCCAACGGTGTATTAGTAAATCCTCAATAAATGGCCTTGCAATTCTGATCTATATAATGCACACGTTTCATACACTTATTATTATACAATCAATTTCCAACAAACTTCAGTAAGGAGCGAAATTCTGTGTGCGATTTAAGAACTGAAAATTATTTTATCTCAATTACATCGTATAAAATCTACGATGAGGTGAAAATGATATTTATCTCTAGCATAAAATTTATTTTCTAACTTCCAAGTAAAAACAAAGAGGAAAAGAGAGAGTTAAGAATATATGAAATATTTGCACAAATAAATTAAAATAAATGGAATACTATATCGTGCCTATATTCCGCTATGAATATATGTAATTCATACATCTTTTCTGTGTAATTCACCTTTACATGCTATAGCTTCCGTTTATTACGGAATCAAAATTGAACGTTGAAGCAGCTAATCACTAGATAGTGATCACCGATTGTTACCACTGACCCAAATTTTTTTATGACAACATTATTAATCATTAAAAGAGAATGTTTATGATGCAAGAATGCAATCGCGCTTTAACTCAGTTATGCATCCTCTTATAGTGTTATGAAATCATATCTCTTCTCCTTAGATAATCATACGCCATTGTATTATATATCGTGATTATTCTTACAATGAAATAAGACGTTGCTAATTTCACTCCCACGAGTAATGTTGTGTCACAGTGTGAAAAGGAAATTTATTTTACATACATATGCTTCGTTCGCAGTAGCATCTGTCTGTAACGCCAGATGTAACCGCAGAGGAATAAAAAGTCCCGGAATTGGCGAATTTTTATCAGTTATACACAAATTCGCACGCGCATTAAGACACGCACAGTTTCAAAGTCACGCGTGTTTCGCAGATTAATATTTTCATTTTATTTAGATAATATTAAATCAAATAATACAAAATTAAATAATATATACTGTTCAATTATTGCTTTTTTAAAATTAAAAATTATAATCAAATTTAAATGTAAATTTGAAAAGAAGTAAAAGTTTCTCATGGGATCTATTGAAAAAATGGTTGAATACTCTCTTTCCTGTACTACCTCGATATTAGAGTGTTGTTTGAAAAAAATACGTATCAATGGCAGCCAGCATATCCACACCTACCGAAAAGATCCTTTACGCATGTAATCATGGCATGGGGGAGCTCGTCACGCGAGCAAATTCTGTATGGGGTTGGCTGGGCAACAGACAGTATTATGGGCGTCTGTCAATATCCTGGACGGTGTTATCATTCGGAAGCATGCATGGCAGGTGTAGGAAATGACGTCATACACTTGGTACAGCCCTGACTGAAAATACGAATCGACTTTGCTGACCCTCTATTCAAACCAGCGTGACATAGAGAAAATTTCTTTTGTACATGTTTCTCTTTTTGCGCGGTAAAGACTTATGTGTTCTATCTCTGCGTACGAATAGTTTGTGCTGAAAGTAAAAATTGATACGGTAGTTAAATAATAAAATTATACTATTTAAAGCGTATATTATTGATCAATCTTCTCGATATGAAGGACTTTGCGATATGAAGGTGAATGCAGTTGTTAAAGGAGGTTTTCGAAGAAATCTCAGTCACGCGATCTTCATGTATGCATTCAAATATTACACTTTCAAATGGATAAAAGATTAGACAAACTAATACATATCATTAATTGTAATTAATAGTATTAAGCAAAAAATCTCTTCCTATAATGCATAATGTATATTGATAACGTGATGTTTTAATATAGCGTAATTATTTTGAGAAATATAAGAATTGTTGGAAATCAGATGATTGTATCATCGTAAATAAAAATGATTTACTGTTATTCACAATCAGTATAATTCTTATCAATACTCATCAGAATACGAAGAAATTTCCTGTATGGAAGCAACAGTCTTTATTCGTTCAAAATCAGATAGCGCACGTATATCACGTGCACATTTGAATACACGAATATCCGCACATCGGGAAGCTTCGCACTAGTCTGTTATTTAGCAGAGTCTTAAAAGTCAAGAGCGTGGCCGATACACTCTGTTGGCAAGAAGAGCACCGTTCGGTGTGCTCACTCAGTTTCCTTAAGTGTCAAACTTAAAGAAGATTCTTTACATACATGCGAACATGAGTCAGTGCAAACATTTCTTCCGCATATCATTATTAAAATATCTTTAGAAATCTTTTAAGCAATTTAGAATCACTTTTTTCTTACTAAAAAATAAAATATGTATTGTTATGTGTTCAAAAATTACAATTCAAAAATTTTTAATATTCAAAATTATAATTTATTTAACATTTAAAAAATGTAATAATTCAAAATTTATATTAAAATCAAATCCGTTTGAAATTAATAAAAAACTTTTTTTATTCATGCAGTTTGATTCGCTAAATATCTTTTATTGATAATAATTTATATAAGCTTGATTAAACTTTGCAATAGTGTCTTCCAAAAATTGATTTGCTTTCAGTCGTAACATTCTTCTTTCCAAGAATGTAATATTATATCATCATCTTATTAACAATGTAAGATCTTAAGAGGACCCCTTACATAATAGAGATAAGGGAGATCTTTAGTTGGGAGAATCATTTCTTTAATTATAATACGGTCACACATTACAGTTTAAGAGCTGTGGGAAAACGTCGTCTCTTCCGGTAAGCTTTCACTCCGGTTTAATCTCCGTGATCGTTTGCGACGAGATACTCTTGACATTGCATCAAGACGACGTTTTACCGAGGAGAAAGCAACCAGTCAGCGTGAATATCGGTTTATCAAACTAAATGCATCAAATAAATAGGCTATACGTACGTGTAAATAAAGTATGTCGAAGTCTTTATGAAGACTGTAGATATGTAATAAATATGCAAGAAATGTGCAATCTATATAATATATAATTCTTAAGAAATTATGTCATTTTTATAATTTAATTATGTATATCAACGATAAGATATCACATTTTTATATTCTACATTTTTATTTAAAAACAATTTAATATAAATTCTTATTCAATTATACTTAATTAAAATATATATTTTATTTTTAAGTATTTCTTTCTTGTAGCATTTTTTGTTTTAATAAATTACACATTTATGCATTTCAGAGCGTCAAGAATTGATTTAATTGTGGGACATTCTGTGCAAGGGAAATCATGTCAATTATAAGTCTTGCTCGACCAGATGACGTCGAATAAGCAAACGGCATCAACCTTCTGGCTTTTACGATCGTATAAAAGAAGCCGTTTTAAAATAGAATTGTTATATTTTATATTCGGATATTTGTTAACGTATGTTCGGCTAGAAATAATCCTCCTAGATTTCTCATAGATGGACAAACAGAAATCGTTCTCAGATTGAAGGAAGGGCCTGAAACGCCAATTGGTAAAAATTATGACTATTTTTTTAACAACATCATCTCTTCAAACAACTTTTTTTTATATCAACGTGATATTATAATGATTATTTTCTTTCTAATTATTTAAGAGAGACAATAATACATTGTTTCCCAAAATTTTTAAATAAAAAATTTTTTTTGTGCAGGCAGCCTAATTTACAGACTCCGAGGCATCGACACAGACGGTGATATTCTGACTTTTGGTGTTCGAGATCAGCCTGGTAGTGATGTAATTCGAGTCGAAAATGTTGGCCTAACTGAAGCGAACATTTATTTAAATAAATTTCTGGATAGAGAGGTAAGTTTAAAAATCTATATTAAAATTTAATTTTTAATATTTAAATAATCTAGACATTTTGGTTAAAACAATAGATTAGACATCTGTCATTTAATCGATAAAATTTTTGTTAATTTTATATATCACATTACGTTATTCCATCAAAAGAATTGCGAAACGAAAATTAGATTAAAATTGCCTATTTCAATAACGATCGAAAATTATATACTTTGTCAAATGAGATGTTGAAGTTCGATTAACCAACACGGCTAAGGAAGTAGAAATAATGCAGGAAGAAAGTTACCGCAACGATTCTTACGTTATATCAATGCTATTATTTCTGTTTCGCACGGACGATTAACGCACCTTAACTTTTTTCTTTGTGCGGACCATAATCGGTAGTAAGTATTGCTAGTTCGATAACATCGTTAAAGAGAAATTTAAGTATCTACGACAAAGACAAACATAATTTGCGACCGATCATTTTCACAAGGATTCGCTTTGTAAAGCTGTCATTTGTGGCCATCATTGATGCCCGCGTAAAATAATGCGAGTCTGAAATTAACTTTCTATCGTCGATGATAGTACCTAGTTATAGTAATCGAGCTATAATTTCACGCACGATGGTAAACAATTTTCAAAATCTACATCGATTGTACTTGATTTAAATTTCATACGTACACTTAAACTTTTTAATTTTTTTCTGATATTACAAAGCTCGATAAATATTCCGGAATTCACTTTATTTTTACATTTTATGCAAATTTGTGTTCTATCAGACAAAAGACGAGTATGCTCTCGTATTAACGTTGACGGATGGAAGATTGGGAGAAGGAAACTTTATCACGCAAAGTCTTTTGCTTCTGGTTGAAGACATAAACGATAATGTACCAATTTTTCGACCACATCCAACCTCATTAACACTTCGAGAGGATTCGCGTCCAAGTGATTTAACAACGGTGGAAGCTACTGATGCCGATTTAGGTGCTCACGGTCAAGTAGTATATTACCTTCAAGAATTGGATGGCGATAACAACATTTTCAGCATAGCGACTATTAATGGCAAAGGTGTTATAAAATTGATTGGCTCTTTGGATTACGAACGAAAGTATCTGTATCAACTGCGAATCTTGGCCGTGGATCGCGCAATAAATGAAAAGGTATTTTTTTATATAACTATTTCACATAATTATTTTCGACTTACAAGTATTGTGATAAAAATTTAATACTAAATTTATTCTAGTCTTGTATAGGATGTATTGGATATAACTTAAAATACATATACACATATTATTGAATATGTTGTTAAACATTCTAAAAATTATATAGGGATTTTATATATAAAACAATGTGTTGCGTATTTTATATATACACGCGGATGTTCTATAGATAAAACCCGTATGACCTATAATTACCGGATAGTTCAATGACTTTTTCCTGTAAAGCCAAGCGCAGTGAAGGATGAACAATGCTAGACGATGATTATGTCTTATCTACATAGGCATCGTTACAGTTATTTATTATAGCCATTTACTTAGAACAACTTCCTGTAAGATAGAAATTATTTATACTTAATTATTTCAGGTAAATATTTAATCATTTCAGGTAAATACAGGAACGACCGCGATTTTGATCAAGGTTCAGGATGTGGAGGATCAACCGCCAGAATTCATAGCCATGACGCCTGTCGCAAGGATCAGTGAAAACGTTAAGATTGGCACATCTGTTTTACAAGGTCAACATTGCATTCAATGATTAAGACGAGAGATGCGAAAATTATATTATGCAATATTATGAAATGAAAAATTTTGAAACAATTTTCAATTAAGAAATCTAATTCTAATGAATTTTAAAAAGAAAGATTTAATTGAATGCGATAACAGAATGTATAAAAAATATATAAATAAGAATTTAGTTTCTCCAATTAACGATAAACTGCTCAATTTAAATGAGGCATTAATAATAACGCTTTAATTGTCAGTATCCAGCCAATTAATTTGAAATCTAAACGCAAATAATAATATTAATATATGTATATATAATAAATTTCTTACGGAATATATTACAAGACATCCTGTATCTAAAATTTGTAATTCTAATCATTCGACGATAAATCTCGTTACAGTTCGTGCAGTAGACGGTGACAAGGGATATAAATAACAAAGTGACGTATAGTATCACAAGGGACCGAGGTATCTGTTTGATATTGATGCGACTTCCGGTCTCGTGTTTACTAGAGCACAATTGGACAGAGAGGCTGAGGAGAATAGCGATGGCACTTTTATCTTAGAAATCACGGTAAAAGAAGTGTCGAAAATTAATCCACCGCCTTCAGTTAGTACCGAGGTGACCATTATTCTTACTGATGTAAATGATGAAACGCCAACATTTCGAAGTAAACAATATTATGCTGAGATAAATGAGAACGCGCCACAAAATACACCCGTCAATTTTATTGGCGATGCTGTACCAGAAGTTTTCGATCATGACTTGGTAAATTAAAAATTGTTATAACGTATTTTTTTTAATATTTTCGATAAATAAACATTTACACAGACATATTTATTACTTTTAAAAACATTACGTAATTTTTTTTAAAGGTATAATATTTTTTATTGAACGTTGAAAGTGCTTTTTATTAATGCAAAACTTTTTAGGGTTCTAATGGCACGTTTCAAATTTTTATCGAAGGCGATGGTGGAATATTTGATGTGACACCTTTTCGTGGGATTAATGAAGCACCATTTTTAATACGTGTTAAAAATTCGAGTAAACTCGACTTTGAAAACATATCAGGTAAAAATGCAGTTTTACATGTTTTTTTCTGAATTAACTAAATGCATTATTGCATCAAAATAAATATAGTGAAGTAATTATTAAAATTTTAACTTTCATTATATATGTATCTATTAATATTTTACAACTTTTTGTGTACATTATTAATTAAACAATTTACATTTATGAATCTTATTTAGAATGTAAAACTTATTGATCTTTCTTACAGTGGTAAACTTCACACTCGTCGCAAAAGAAATCTTGCCAATTTCGCCAAAATACAGCGCGGTACCAGTTACTGTTTTTATAAAGGATCAAAATGACAATTATCCCGAATTCACGGAAAATGTCTATGAGGTCTCAATACCGGAAAATTGTGCTAAGGGAACTACCGTGGCTTGGGTACAAGCTTTAGATGAAGACAGCGGTAACTTTGGAACACATGGAATACGATATACGACTTTAGGTGGCAGCATTGCACATGTGTAAGAGATAATATACTAATATAAGAGATAATAAATTCAAACTCTAATTGCTCTAAAAATTGCATACATTATATCATTATTTTTCGACAGATTTTTATATCTATTGAGTCAGTGAGAAAAAAGAAAAAATAAAAAAAAATTTTGCAGCTTCATATACTTATACAAAAATTAATATCTGATAATAAAATATTAATAAAAATAATATAACTGCAATATCTAAGTCATTTATTTATTTTCATATTTTATATATCATAGATTGGCAATGGATCCTCTCACCGGTATAATAACAGTTAAACATCCTGGAGCTAGTTTTGATCGCGAATTAGTAGCCCGACATTATCTCACAGTTGAAGCTCGAGATGATCTTGGAAAAGGAAATCGCAACGCTGCGCAATTGATAGTCAATGTTAACGATGTTAATGACAATGCGCCTATATTTTTGCAAAATAAATATGAAGCTGTATTGTTGGAGAACGAGAATCATTTTGAGTCGCCTCTGATTGTCGAAGCATCCGACAACGATTTAAATGGTTAGACAGCATTTATATACATATAAACGAAAAGCAAATAATATATGTATTTTAATTAATTACAATGTGTTCACTTTATATATGCAGGTACGCTAAACAGTGAAATAACTTATGCATTGGTATCAAGTGAATTCTCTCGAAATTTTACAATCCATCCAAAACGTGGCATTGTGACACCCTTCCGTCCTTTGGATTACGAAGCATTACCTATCAATCAGGGACACAAGGAAAAAATTATACGCCAACTGAAATTGACAGTTAGAGCGAAAGATGCGGGCACACCGAGTTTAACTTCTGACGTGCCTCTAATTATTTATTTGAAAGATGTTAATGATAATGCGCCAGTTTTCGAAAGAAGTGTGTATAGAAGAGGTATAGCTGAGGATTTACCGGGCGGTACGAGTGTTATACAGGTATGTAATTAACAATATTGTAAGGAAAGTTAAAGATACAAATTTTGGAATTGTACGAAAGACTAAAAATTAAAGAAACAATTTATTAATAATTAGAGTTATCGATTAAATGGATATCAAATAAAACATTATATTCACACAGGTAAAGGCTTGGGACAAAGATTTATCGTCACCCAATAATAAGTTAGTTTATCGAATTCAAAGCGGTGCCGAAGACAAATTTGTTATTAGTCCCGAAACAGGCGTAATTAGAGTGGCACCAGGCTCGAATCTAGATCCGGATCTCACGTCACCGAAAACAACAATGTATAACTTGAATGTTATCGCTATCGACAGCGGTACGGAAATTCAACGAACGGCCGAAGTTCTCGTTAACATAACGATTTTAGATGTTAATAATAAACCGCCTCTTTTTATTGATCCTGGAACTGTGACTATCAGAGAAAACACTCAGGTACGTTGTCAGAGTTTTATTACTTATTTGTAAAAGTATAATAATAAATGAATAAATTAATGAATTATTAGGTCGGTGCGTACGTTCATCGTATAATGGCGCAAGATCCGGATGTAGCTCCTAATTTACGTTATCGCGTGGATCCTAATTCATCAGAGGCACGAAACGAGGAAGGCACTTTAATCAAGATACAGGAATATGACTATTTAGCAGCATTGGAATTAAATCCGTTGGATGGTCTGTTGCGCATAGTAAAATTGTTAGACAGGGAGAGAGTAGAAACTATTAGACTAGGACTTGTGGTTGAAGATTTGGCTGCAGTAAGAGGCTTGCAAACTGCATCCGGTTAGTTTTGAAAATACATTTTACATTTTTTTAAATGCAAAAATAAAAATAATTATATTGTGAAAATGTTTGTGCAGCCATGCTGAATATAATTATCGAGGATGAGAACGATAATAATCCAAAATTCCGAAGACCTTTTTATAGACGCTCCGTTACCGAAAACAGTAAAAATGGAATTAATATTGTAAACATCGTTGCGGATGATGCTGATAAAAATCGCAGCATTACCTATTCCCTACAAGGACCGAAAGAGATCACTGATCTCGTGTATCTAGATCCTGAAACCGGAGAGATGGTTGTTGCTAACAAAATTGATAGAGAAATGTATTCATGGTTGAACTTGACCGTTAAGGCAACAGATTCTGGAATTCCACCTCGGTAAGAAAATTTTGTGATTTAAAAAAATTATGATACAGATTATTTAAATAATAATAGATATAAAATGAATTTAAGTCTCTAAATTTTTCGAAAATAATTATTTGAAATATGTGTCTGAATAATTAATAGTCAACGTTATGTGTTTCTACGAATGTTAGACTGATTAAATGTTATAGGTCAAGTTTATCGGAAGTATATGTTCAAGTACTAGATGAGAATGACAATAATCCGTATTTCGTATCAAATGTCAGTAGTGTAACTGTCATGGAGAATTCGAAAATTGGCACGGAAATCACTGTCATACAAGCAGCAGATTCCGATAGCGGAGATTATGCAAAAATTACTTATCTCTTAGATAGGATATCATCCCAGGTAAACTATAACCGACACAAAACTAATATTTTGCATTTGCTAACAAATATACAATATATATATTGGTTTCATTATATATTAACGTTAATAGTTTTATTTACTTAAACAAATGTAATGTAATAATTATATTGATTTAATATGTATAAAAACTAGCTTATTATTATAATCAAATATTATTTTGAATAGGGGACTTTTGCTATCCATCCTGAAACCGGTTCATTGACAGTGGCTGACGTTTTGGATTGGGAGACTAAACATAATTATGTTCTAGTTATAGAGGCTTGGGATAATTATCAATTTGGTTATACTGCGGGAGAATCTCGAAATGCATTCAAACAAATTCAGTATGTTCACAAAATTTCAAACTACAATTTTTTTATTTTTATAAATAGATTTGATAATAAATTTTTTTTTTAATTTAATTTTGAACTACAAATTATTTAGAAAACTTAATAAAGCAAAGTATATTATTTTAGAGTTACGGTCATTGATGTAAATGACAATGCTCCAAAGATGGATATACCTCAAAGTTGCGTCTCAATATCAGAATTTCATGACATTCGTGATTTAGTTTACGTCATAAAAGCGAAGGATGCTGATGATCCGACAACGCCAAATGGACGTGTCATAATTAGAATCATTTCTGGCAATGAACAAGGTTAAATTTTGTATAATATTTAATGCAACAATTATTGACATCAGTATTCTACAGTATTAATATAAACATGTACTAGAAAATGTTTTAGGACAAGCTATATATATATTTTTTAAATGCCATATGTCGTCAATTCCAAATAATATTAATGAAATTTTGTTCAGCAGGTTTATTCATATTGGAACAAACTGATTATTGGACGGCAAAAATAAAAGCTGCGCGACCATTAAGAGGCAAATTTGGAAATTACACATTAAATATTGAAGCGCACGACCTGGGAATACCAACGAATAAGAATAATGAAATTTTGAAAATCTGCGTCACGGATTATAATGATAATCCTCCTTTGTTCGTCAGTCCTCAACATAATACCACCATTCGAGTTCCAGAGGTTCGTGTTTCTGATTAATTTATATAATGCTATATTTTTAATTCGCATGAAATAGACACTAACAATTGAATGTAAAATTGAATTCGTTTTAGAACATAACAGTAGGAAGTTCGATTATTCAAATCGAGGCAAAGATGCTGATACGGGATTAAATGGCGATGTTCATTATCGTTTAAAGCAAGATCTTGCGGGACATTGGAGAACCTTTCACATTGACGAAAAAAGTGGTATAATATCTTTAAAGTTATCGCTCGACAGAGAAACTCAGAAATTGTACGAGGTATGGAAAAATATGAAGATGTAAGATTAGAATTAAATTTTATCTTGAATTGTTTAATTGATTAATTTCTCGCAATGAACTAAAATCTAAAATTAATATTAAATATCTGTCTCTAATATAGATACGAGTCGAAGCATACGATCTGGGTACTCCAACGCCATTAAGTTCAGATCTTGATTTAATTATTTATGTGCGTAATATCAACGATTTTGAGCCACAATTTTTAGTGAACGTTTTTAATGTAAACTTTACGGAGGAACAACCTCCTGGATCGCAAATGATATTACTTCCAGAAACAATTGACAGAGACGAAGTTGACGATTTAGACGATCCTCCTACACAAGTTTGTTACTTCATAGTTTATGGGAATGAAAACGGATTGTTCGCTTTAGATATCTACAAGCACGAGCTAAGCGTAAGTCCCTTATTAAATGATTTATATTATTGAAACAAAAATTGGATTTACATATTTTATTTCTTAATAATTTAACATTATTTATGTAATTGGCTTAGACTGCCAAGATGCTGGACAGAGAGCAACAAGAAGAACATATATTACTTGTTAAAGCGACAGAAGATTGCGAAACTGTTCCGGACAACGAATTGATATTTGACGAAGCTGATGATACCTTATTACAAGTTGTCATAAAGGTTGATGATGTCAATGACAATGCACCGCGATTTATTAATAAAGTTTTTACGGGTGGTGTCACTACCGAAGCCGATTTTGGCACGCAATTTATGCACGTAAAGGTAATTTTTATATGCAATTTTTATGTAAACTACTGTCTTATTTGTGTGTTGCATATTTTAATATTAATTAATCTTTAAATTTTAGATCTACGATTGAATTAACTAATTTAAATTAAATTAACTAATTTAATCTTAGAATATATATTGATATACATATATGTATATTTAATATGCATTCAATGTTTAAACACATATTTTGCAGGCAATTGATTTGGATGCTGGTGACAATGCTGTACTCGGTTATTATCAAGTAGGAAAAATTCACATGACATTAACTGAAGGCTTCGAAGATATGCAATTACAACCTTTTCTTGTGAATAAAGATACTGGAGCAGTAAGTTTGAATTTCGATCCTCAACGTGGGATGAAGGGCTACTTTGATTTTATGGTATATTTATTTGTATCCTATTAATATATCTTATTTTTATCTTAATAACATCTAAATGAAAGAGAAATTATATTTTATAATTTCAATTTATTTTTACGAAAAATAAAAATCGCGCGGCTTCTTTTCTATTATTTATTATGTATCACTAACAAAATAGTGGAATTTTATTACATAAGTTGTCTCATATATAATGAAATAAGTATGATTTGTTTATGATATAAATATAGATACTCGTTAACGACACCTATGGCTTACAAGATACTGCGAGGGTTTTCATTTATTTATTACGGGAGGATCAACGAGTTCGTTTTGTTCTTCGTCAACATCCGCCAGAAGTGAGAAGTCGAATTGAGACATTCCGAGAGTAAGCACAATATATTCTGCATAATTTATGAAGCAAAAAAATTATCAATTTTTAGGAAATAAATAAAAAAGCAATTGTAAAATATTATCTGAATAATTTTTAAAAATATCTGAATTTTTCTTATTTACAGAATTCTAGGTAATGTCACTAGTGCTATTATTAATGTTGACGAATTCAAAGTGCACGAAAATCAGGATGGTTCCGTAGATAGAACAAAAACAGATTTATACTTGCACCTCGTGAATCGACGAGACAATTCGATCCTCGAGGTATCCGAGGTGCTCGAGTTGGTTGACAGAAATATTGAGAAACTGGACAATTTATTCAAAGAGTTCAATGTCCTCGACACGCAGCCGGCAAAGTCTCAGCCACTCATTCAGTATGAACAAGCAGCAACGACTTTCTGGCTTCTCACATTGACCCTGTTCCTAGGAGCTCTATTGATTCTGTGCGTCGCCCTATGCTTGTCTCAAAGAGCGTCTTTTCGAAGGCAACTGAAAGCGGCGAACGCATCACCGTTTGGTAATTTCAAATGCAAATAATTCTTTCTATTAATTTATGTCATTTTTATTGGAATCTCTGCGCAATTAATATATTTTTGAATTTTGCTATAACTGATAGAACTCTGACTCTTTTCTAAAAAGTTTAATTCCTGATATATTTCGAAAAAAATTTTGCCAATTAAATGTAAAACATATTCCGTATAATTTTCATTGCGATATTATATTATTAAAATACGCCAATTTTGATATCTTTTCAAGGTACATCGGAATCCGATTTTATGCGAAATCCTGGTCGTGTTCCGAATACAAATAAACATAGTATGGAAGGATCAAATCCCATATGGATGCACGCTTATGAAAATGAGTGGTTCAAGAACGACGAATCATTCAGCCATACATCCGAAAGAGATTCTCTCGACGAGAACGCGCTTAATAACGAAGAGATGATGAATGAAGCTAATACGAACCAAAGAGCCGAAGATAAACCATATTACATAGAGCCAAGAGTTTCAACTATTTCTAGGTATAAAATCATTCTTCCTTTATGTTATTGCTAATTATTAATTAAAACCAATAATATAATATCAATTAATTGAAAATATATTTTACTTTATTATTACAGCATTGAAAGTACCGATATCCAAAACGAGTTTAGCAGAACTTCTTCGATTTACACAGGACATAATGTAATTGTGAATCCTTTGGGAAAAAAGATCGAAACAACCGAATTGTAGGAAACCGATTTTGATTATGAAAAATAAAATACAAAATTATTTTGTAAATAGGTACATAAATCAGCAGAAATAATTTCATATTGGCTATCGTAATTTTAGATATAACGTATTCGCATAAATTATTTATTGTACTTGTGTAAGTGAACTTAGTATATACGAAGTAATAAATATTTAATTCATATTGTATGATATGCAAGAGATATTTTATCATTAATGAATATTGAGTTTGGATAAATAATTTAATTTAAAATATGTTACTATTTAAACTCCACAGCGAGATCAAGTATCTGCACAACAATCTATTGTACAATAAATTTTTGTACATCTTTGTATTTTTTATAAATGAGTAAATAATAAAGTTTTTTTCATTAAATTTAATTTTTTATATTATTCAAGTTTCTCCTAGTTAAAAATCTTTTCTGTTTGGAAAGAGATAAATTTTCACGGAGAAATAAGAACAGAGTTAATCACGCGCGTATAATATTTGTGGCATCTGATAATAATATAACACACATAGACAAAAATGGCTCACAACAATGATCGAGGTTGTGTTATACGTAGCAGGTCACGGGTTGAAAAGTTAGGTGGTCGAGGAAACGGTTACCTATTCTCTTATCGTCTTCCTGAACGTCGAGATTGCGTGCAACCTCATGCTAATCCAAAGTGGCTATACCTATAACTGACCGGTCAGTGGTCGACCTCAGAGTTGAGAACTTTCAAGGAGGCGTTATAGCGTCTTTTATACTTTCCATATATATCCTCAATTATGGCGTATATTCGGTAATAACAATCCTTTCTCGGCAATAATATTTTTAAGTTATAAAAAAATTAAAAAGTCCCTTAAATTCTTTAATAAACCCTTACGCGAAAACCTCATAATTATATATCAAAATTTAGTTTAATCAAAATTTGTCCTGTTTCTTAATAACAATTTTTTAATAAAACAATAATAATGAAATATATTATCCTCAGAAATTAGGCTTGTGATATTTATCAGTATTCTTTTATCAGTAAACACGCAATCTTGCGTTAAAAAATTCTTTGTATTAGAGGGTCACAATTAAATACTATACTATCTAACTTATCAAGAAACTAAATCAGAATCTGCGCATTACTCTTTAGACTTACAATTTAAATTAAAAACAGACTTTTTTATATAATCCTGAAAAAATTAAAAATATTTTATATAATATTTCATTAAACGATTGAAAGATGTAATGCAATAGAAAACTAACTTGTTTCAAAAGCTTAAGAAAATTAAACTCTAAAAAGTAATAAAAAATTCTATACTTTATATTTAATAAGAAATCTTCGCGTAAAATTATTCGCAAACTATTATTTTGTCAAAAATATCTTTTAATTTTTAATTTTATAACAATCATAGATTGCGCAACAATATTTTAGACTTCTATAGGCTTGGACAAATTTATCTATATTTTTGTACAATTATATGGAAATAGAAAAGAATTGTCATCATTTAGTAACAAACGATCATCCATGATGACTTTATTTAATTGAGTTCCAAAAATTGTAAGTATTGGTTCTCGACAGCCGTTTCTAGTTACAAGTAGTTAAGTATACTTTCAGAATTATGATGGAGGGGATGGTCGCCGATCGTGACGTACACGTGACTCGTAGAGCCGCATCAACATAGGGGATGAACAGTACAACCCCTTTCACACGCGCGGCATACGCGGCCGCGTGAAGTATACTTCCATACGAACCTCAAGAATGTTATCTCCGGATGACGATTGTTCGTCAAATGATTCTCTCCAGTGCAATTCTCCAAGAAAGATAACAGCGCAAAAAATTGGAATTGTCGCGTGGAAATAATTATCTAAGAGAAAAATAAACGGTGAAAGATTGTTACACAATGTTGAAAACGTCGAAACGAGAGCTAACTTATTCTCGAGGATCGTTTTTAGACAAAGGAGGAATCGCGATTTTTTTTGTTTCGAAATATTGTGTGCTACTGCATTGCCAAACGATTCATTTGACCTGTGATCTATGGGTATTCTTATAATGAAACATTTGACGATTCGTGATTCTTTGTGTTCAGGTAAGCGTTTTTATGTGTTTTTAATTCTTAGCTTCTGCCTGATATCGATATGTACGTTAATATCATTTTGTAATTATAATATAATTTAATTTAATATAATTTAATATAATATAATTTAATAAATATATATAAATAACAAAATTTTTGTGTTAGATTTCAAAGAAACATAAAATACAGTAACATCATATTTGATTTCTCTGTCATAGAAAGATCATCAAATCATCTCAATACATTTTTATTTTTTTATTGTATTACAAAATAATATTTGCAAATCTTATATTTAATATCTCACGGGAGATATTTAATATAATAATTTATTAAACATTATTTGTCTTTGCCCTATTTTCTTTCGAGTAATTTGATGTATTATTGTAATGTACATAACGCTATTTTTTTGTAATTAAAGTAATTATTTTCTCATTATATAATAATTTTACGAAGGACATCATAAGAAAGAATTGGAGGGTTAATGACTCCATTCTATTCATTTACAATGAGATGTCGGCATTATATATACATGATAAAATGTCGATGTAGACATATCGACATCCTTTACGTGCACTGAAACTTTGCGGCAGCGTGCACAATATATGGCGCGAGTGTTTATTTATTTACTATATATTTATAAGCAATTCGGTAAAAGTTCACAGTGGATTTTCAATCACAACTGTGAATACCGATTTCTTGCGAGTATCCAATAATGTCGACACGACTTGCAAATACGACGAGGAAAAAATAGTATATCGATCGTTCTAGCATGGACACTGACCGGTAAAAATATAGCGAAATAGTTATGCATGTGGATGAGTTAAAGCCCATTTTATCGTTAGACAAACAAGACTCTTATTATGGATCTATGTGTAGAAAGATCATACTGAATATTCCATTAAATGTCCTATGTCCGCTACATGATAAAATATTTATGCAATGTCAAGGCATAAGACATTGACAGAAAGTATCCATTGTATTATAAATAGAAGCGGAGTAGATGTAAATTGTTATGGAGTAAATTAAATGTTGTCATAAAAAAACATTTCTGATTAAAACTTCTTATATATAATTTCGATAAATAATTAATGTCATCACAAGTCTGTTTCTCTGATCTCGAGATAATAATGCAATTAATGTATGAAAAGTTAAAAGCATTAAATATGAAAAGAAAAAAATTGATTTTAAATTGCTTAAAGAATATATTTTTATAAATTTTACTATCTTGAATATATATAAAAATATTTTTATATTACGGTATATATATTTTATTAATTTAAAGAGAAAGAAGAAAAAAGATCTGATAAACTATCTGATGTACAATAAAAATATACTATCATAAAATTTATGCCTTCTGATGTGTGACACAACAATATTATTCTGTTGTAAAGAAATAGTCGATGACCCATTTCCACTTTCGTTTTAATAATCACGTATACATTATATCAATACTCGCGTAAAAAATATATTTGTGATAAAATAAAATTTTATCCACATGAAAATTACAACATAAATCATGTTATATAGATTGTCCTAAAATTAAAAGCAAAATGTAAATATATATAAACATAACGCGTTGTAAAATTAAATTCAAACTGTGTTAATGTAAATAAACGCAGAATCTATAATATTGTTTCAATGCAAATTCATTTAAAGTTGTTATTTTATAATTTAATATATGTAAAAATATATTTATAAGATATTGAGAGAAAAAATTACTTTGTATATAATAACTTATAATTGTATAATTCCATGCTTTATCACATGAATCAAAACCGTGACGTTGAACAATTGATATACTGTTTTTAAGACGCAGCATGAGTGTTCGCGACCTCCTTTTATGATCATAAAATCGATATGTGTACGATCATATCAAAATTGGTCATCTTTTCACTATTAATGTCGATTACGTGCGGATAGAGACAAAGTATTATCGATTTGCTGTGTCTTATTTTATATTTAACGTAGAAAGACCTTGCAAATTAAAAGTTCAATGTCCTTTACTTTTAAATGCTTTATCCTCTTTTCTCGAATATTTTTATTCAATAGAGAAAAAAAAATAGAAGAAAGAGAGTAATGTTTTGCCATTTTTCTTTTGTAGAATGCCCCTCGTAGAAGCATGGTTCAAAGTGTGGGTTTATTTTGGGCTCATTTACGGTTGGAGCGAAAGTGCTCGACCACGCTTTGACACATCTACAGATATGGGATTGGTATTGGTTCCAGCCGATGCTGAAGTCGATTCCGTAATCTTTCGATTACGCGCCACCGATCAGGACGCGGACTTTCCTCTCGTATTCGAAATAACTGGTAATTAAAGAAAGAAAAAATAATAAAGATCTTGAAATATCAAAATTATTAGCTAAAACGCGATTTACAGTCGGAAGATAAAACAATAATGTCTGTATTTCGTTCAGCAACAATTACACCAGTTGTAAGAATCGACAACCTGCCATGTACGCTGTACAACAAGGTCTGCCAAGCCAATGTAATTTTAACAAAACGCCTTATGCCCGGGCGTCTTCACGATTTTGCAGTCAGAGTTCGGGATACTAAAGGAGATTCAAATTCGATGCAAGCTACCATTTCTGCGACAAATGCTACGACGTCGCGTGATAAAATATTTCCTCACATTCCTTCTCTAATAATGGTGCCTGAAGTAATTATCGATGTTTTCTCTAACAACGCTAATTAGTGCTGTAGTAATTAGTCCATTGAGTATAATCAAGACAAACCGTCTATCTTGTGCATGTCATCACTAATTATCTATCTAATATTAACATAAAATCTGTTATTATAACACGAAATATTTAATTAAGATATTAAAAAATAATACGCTATCTCATTAAAAGGATACTAAACCAGGCAAGGAACTAGATTATCTTCTCGTACGAGCGAATTCTTGGAGCGGCAAGCCTGTTTATATCGAATTATGGGTAGGCATTTAACAATTACTTTATATATTTGTATACTTATATGAATAATAAGACGTAATGTAAAGTCGTTTTCGTTTAATTTTAGCAACCGAAAGAACTTTTTACTATACGACAGCGACAAACACCAACGCAAACGCGCGGAGCTATTACGTTAATAGGTGAATTAGATTTCGAAACGCAATCAATGTATACCCTCACCATTTACGCGACGGTATGTATAATTATTTTTACGAATAAATACGAAACATAATGTCATACGTAATAAATTTTCAATTAGGATCCTTACACGGAACCTGGGAAAGACACTAGAAATATTGCAGGCTTAAATATTGTTATTATAGTTCAAGATGTACAGGACGTACCACCAATTTTTACTTTAGCACCACCTTTAACTAGACTTAATAATTCTGTGCAAGTTGTAAGTTGAATATATTACAATTTCATTTACTTTGATGCTAATTGAATAGATCATGAAAGTGATAGATTTTATGATACATTAAGATAGATAGCAAAATATTATATATGCTTTTGTGTGAATTATTATTATCTTCTTCTAGAAAAATTATGGTGTAAATTTTCTAAGTCATGTTTATTTCATTTGTAGGGAGATGTAATATTACGAGTTCACGCGGAAGATGGAGATAAAGGGGTGCCACGTGAAATCACATATGGTTTAGTATCCGAAGGCAATCCTTTCATACCATTTTTTAATATCTCCGAAACAACTGGTAAGAAATTATATGTTAAATATTCAATTAATATTATTTTGTACGCGCTAATCTGATATTAATTTTTTATTGATAAAAAGTTAATTTTTTGTCATCAATTTATTCCATATATTTCTTAAATTGTGCGATCTAATTATGTCGAACGTGATAAAAGATTAAAAAACTTTGACTATTGCGCAAATGCAAACTAGAAATATAAGTGTAATTAAATTACTCGATGAGTTGAGTCATCGCTAATTCTTTAATGTATTGCACGTCATGCGTTATTTCTCTGACAGTTTCGATCTCGGGGAAAAAGTAACGACGGCGTTGATTCATATTCTCCTTTAGTATACAGAGCTGACCTCATTTTGTGAAAAGCACCGGACAATGATTAAGCAGAGAAATTTGTTCACTGCCAGCAATGTTAATCTTCTATTCCTTGATATCAAAATTATTTGTTCCATGTATACGTATCAAGTTTGCGAAAAAATCACGTATAAGAGATTTCATAATTTGTGAACAACTTTTTATCATTACGGATAGATAGTTTCAAATAAAAATTATTTTAACATATTAAAATTAACAGTTTTATTAAAGTTAACATATGCGAAAATAAAAAGAAATAGTAATTATAAGTTATAGAATCTGTAAAAATTAGATTGAATTAAATGAATTCTAAATTGAAAAGCATATAAGAAAGTGAAAACGCCAAGTTATCTTTATTAGACATATAACAAGTAATTTCGTCAAATAGGTAAAAATTTAATTAACACGAAATTTTTATGTAAAATTAAATACAAATTTTGTAAGTAAGTTTACGTATGTTTAAGTTAGGCCTTGCGAATATTGATGAAATTCTTATTATCTGTCATCTGATATTTAAATATCAGATTCTTTCTCGTGAAATAATTCAGGCAAGAACGCGAAAAATTGGCGAGCAGTAAACAGAAAACCCTAAAGGTGGTCGGAATAAGTCTGGACAGTCTACGGCTAAGTATCGATCGTTCTGAGGGGTCAGTCTCTGCTTTTCAACTTGCGATGCTTATCATTCCGTGGCAAGGAGCATGCGATACGTACTACGGCTCCTTGCGTGTGCGGGTTCTACCTACATTCAACGATGTATATATCCATACTATTGCTGCGAACGATTTCTTACATCGATTCCGCCGGTACATTATGTAAAATTATTGCCGGTCAGCGTGCGTGTACAGTACAAGTCAAGACGGAGAAATAACAAGGATAAGAGAATTCACGCGTCTATTATATCCGATGTTTTATTCATATTAAAAATAATTCAGGAAGCACTGCTACGATTATCCAAGAAATAACGAAAGAGGATCATTTCATAATATATATAGAAGTATATGTATATCTTTTTTTTTTTTAAGAAAAATTCATTAACAGATATTATACATTTTGCAATGTTTAGGTGAGATTGTCCTCGCTAAGCCTTTAGAAGAACTCACGCAAATTACTCACATTGGTGCACCGGTCGTACTTACCGTGGTAGCTGAAGAAATACGAAGATCTAGAGACGAGCCGCCAGCACAGGCGACAGTTGTCGAAGTCGGATTCCTTCTTGGAGAACCCGGCAATAATCCGCCATATTTTGGAAATAATAAGTTGGTACCGAAAGATTTTAACGACAAGCACGTAAAAGCCGAAGTAACGTTTTTTCATGAATGCTCGATTTAATTTCTGACAAATAAAATTATGACTTTTTCCTATTACATCCTTGTATGTTCATAAATTATCGATGTTATTATGTATATTCACATTGTTAGACAGTTTAAATTTTTATCTACAGATTAAGTCGCACTATATATATTTGATATTTATTTATACTTAACGTATAATATATATTATCTCACATTGTTGAAAAGACAGTTTATAATTTTTATCGACTAAAATATGATATTTTGTTTGCATTATATATATTTATGATATTTGCACTTAACGTATAATATATATTATCGATCTATGTTGTAGCTAATTGCACAGAAAACAATAAACGACTATTTGAATTATTGGCAAAGTTGCATTAAAATATAACAATGGCACTTTTGAAATAAATCCGACTGTTGCTGAACGTTCGGCGGACTTTAATATCACAGTACGAGATAATAATCATCGATTACGAGATGTATAAAAGTTTATCCTTTAAGGTATGTATTTCTAATGTAAAAATGAACAAGATATATTGTCGAATTTTTTTATAATTTATTTTAATTATATTATATTATATATTTTTTATGTTATGTAATGTAAATAGGTTTACGTTGATATAGATATATATTATGTGTGTTATGTATAGATTGTTGCTCAAGAGGTTGGTCCAGCGACAAATCTATCAGCAAAGCAGCAGTCATAATATTTATAGAAGATGTTAATGATAATCCACCGATATTCGACGAAGAATCTTACGAAGTTACACTGTCCGAAAATGTCACCATTGGAACACGAGTCATCCAAGTAATTTTTATTATATTTTAAAATAAATCCAAGAAATTTTTAATCAAATATGCATGTTCAAACGAAAATTTCGAATTAAACTCTTTCAAGTCTCCTAATTCTTGGCAAATTATTTTTTTCTCGTGGGAGAGCTTAGTGTGTGCTATAATACCTTTTTAAATGTTTTTATATAAGAATATATAAAATAAAAAATAATTTAATTCACCTATGAAGTGCCACAGCAAAGTTGTACTACAATGTACAATACTACAAAAAATAGATATTCATTAAAAATGATTACATAAATTTCTAATTCTTAAAACTAATAATGTAATAATTGTTTAATAATAATTAAATAATAATAAAAATTAATTTAATAATTATTTTATTATGTCTAATATTATATATAAAATATTCCAATTTTATTAAATTTTCCAATTTTTGAAAAAATATTTAATTAATATAATAAACTTTCATAAAAAAATAATAAATATAGAAATCTTTTTTTTAAATATAAATAAAATTTATAACTCTTAAATATTGGGATATTGTATATATAAAATTATTTATATTTTTAAAATAATTAACTATATAGGTATAAATAGTTTATTATAAATAATTTAAATATTTTAAAAGTAAACTGAAATATATATATATAGTATGACAATATTTTATGTTACACATGTTATAATGTGAAATAAATCACCGCAAAAATAAGTAATAATTAATTTTACATATTTTAAGAATATTATATAACTTGCACTAACAAAAAAGTCATATAACTTACACTAATCTTACAGGTGTTTTGCTGTTGCCCAATGCCTGCCTGGGCCTCCTCCTCCTCTCTTGTTCATTTTTCGCTTCTTATGGCACTCGCGAAAACACAATTACGGTCGCGCATGAACTAATTAGTAGAATACAACGCTCGCACGGCACTTTGCACGGCACTCCTGATATTAATCGCACGCGATACTTTGCACGGCACTCCCGACATTAATTGCACGCGACGCGTATTTTTTATATTGTAAGTATAAAAGTCTATATTGATAAAAATGTAGTCAATGTTAAATTTTTATATGAAATAAGAATAATTTTATTGACATACAGGTTCACGCAACTGACAAAGATACCGGTCTCTTTGGCAGCATTCAATACATAGGCATAACAGGACAAGGAAGTGACGCCTTTGGAATAGATCCCGATACAGGTTTAATTACAGTGACAATGGGATCATTTCTAGATCGCGAAATAGCAGCACAATTGCGATTAACTGTAATTGCGTGCGACGAGAACGGTAAAGGTAATACGGGAGTAGTACCTTTAATTGTCAATTTGCTGGACGTGAATGACAATGCACCGATTTTTGAGAAAAATCCTTACAAATTTACATTAAATGCCGATTTGACAAATTTCACAGCACCAGCTATCATAAAAGTAAGTTTAAATTTCATATTTCCATTTAAACTACATTGAGATTTATAATCGTAAAATATTTTCAATATATTGATATTTATAATATTTAAATATTTTTACAACTTTATTTGATTGTGTTCAGGCCACCGACGCTGATGCCGAACCACCGAACAATGAAATTCGTTACGAATTAATTCAAGGAAATTATGAAAATAAATTTTATCTAAATGAAATTACCGGAGAATTGATATTACGTTCGCCTATCACAAAATTCAGACGAAAGAAACAAAGCGGTTACGACAAGTTTTCGAAAAAATTACATAAAGAATTTTCACCATTGGAACACACGATGCAAGAAAATGAATCGAGAACAACAATATTGCCGGATTCAATAAACTCAACGGAAAATTTTCGAAACGAAACTGAATTAAAACATAAAGACGAAATAAGGAAACATCGAAGAAGACGAGCGGAAACTGATATTCTATACTCTTTAACTGCCAGAGCATACGATCTCGGTAATTATTTTGATAATAAATGCAACTTTTAGTTGAATAAAAATAAATTATAAATAGGATTAGAAATTTCATGTAATCGAGTAGAAAATATTCTTTTATTTTCTTCATTAACGTTTCTAGGCGTACCTCATTTAGCGAGCGAGACGGAGATTTTCATCGTCAGGGGAACTGCCATGGAAGCTCGCATAATGATGTTTGTAGTGCCAGGAGAACATCCAAATTTAAAGACGACCGCTGAGACATTAGCTACTATCACAGGTGGACGAATTACCGTATTAGAGACACGACCTTACGTGCCGGATAATAAACCCGGCGTTACAGAAAATGCTGTATCGATGGAAGGAAAAAGGTTGACAGAAATTCATAAAATATTCCGATTTCCTGATTTATACGAATCATTGAAGAAAAGAATATAAATCTAAACATCTTTGAAAAATTTGTAAATTAGTTTAAAAATTATATCTCCCTTTAATATCTGTTAAAAACAACAGAGTCTTCAAATTATGCGTCGATATAATAAATCTTTGATATTTTTATATTGTTTAATTATCTGTTGCTAGAACGATCGTGATAGCTCGTGTTGAACAAACCGAAGTCGGCACACCCTTGGTAGATGTAGAAAGAATTCGCAATACATTAGCTGCGAATGGGGTAGGAATTATCGGCGGTACAGGCACTACCAACGTATCTATGACATATAACGACGAGACTACCACGAAACTGCCAATCGATGGAGTAATTCACAAAGGGGGAGATAATACGCGGTCCTACGCAAACAACACAATCACCAACGAGGAAGTAGTGAGTAAATGTTCATTAATCCGTATTTCTTTCCATATGCTTATTTTTTTATTTTACTTGTCTCCTTCACTAATATTGTATACAACTTTATAAAATATTATCGAACGTTTTTTTATTATATGAATTATATTTTTTTTCTAGTTTTGTTGGCAATCTTCGATTTTAGAGAAATGAGAGATCAGAATTCTTTTTCAGACGGTGTATAAAGCTGAGAATAAATTGCTCTTTTGGCTACTGATTATTCTGGGTTTGCTGATGCTGTTGGCAATAGCAGCACTTATTATCTGCTGCATTTGTCCAGGTTGTCCGTTTTACATGGCACCCAGAAAGCGCAGGGTACACTCGTCAGAAACGCTTATCGCTCGACCTAATGGTCGACCAAAACGGCATCTTCATCGGAAACCAATGGCTACAATCGAGAGTAATTATACCATTACACAATTATATCAAAAGTTTAAAACGTTTAAATATATTTGTCTCAGGAGAATTTTTGCAATTGATGCTCTAATTGCACACAGCTATTTAATGCATACTTTATAATTTATAAAGCTATTACTATTCATAAAGATATTTTGACTTATTAAAAAAATGATAATATACGTAAACGTGCAGTTATATCGAACGGAAAAAGCAAGCTTGGAGCGCAGATCCGGCCCGAAGAAACTGGCAATTTAATCGTCGAAACGCCAAGAATGGTGGCTTAGCATCGCTTCCTGGGGACGTTGTGTATATTTCGGAACGTCCTCCCATTGATCAAGCAAATGTAGACTCACTGAGGCTACGTGATGGCCCGTCCTACGATCCTTCAAGAAGGAGAAGAATTGAGGAGCAGGAGAAAATGTATGTGGAAGATGTCGAGGAAAGGAAGTTAGAGATTATGATGCTATGGATGCAGATTCCTTACAACGACATGAAATCGAAGGTGGTTCGGACATTCTGCATCAAGTTTACAGACAAAGGTGGATAGAACGTGTCACGCTCACAGCGATTCGCGATAATTTTTAATGATTTCTAAATGACAAAATATTTTCTGTAAAATAAAATTAAGTGAAAAATAATCACAAACAGATATGATATATTTTTCTTCTAAATTCTTCGTCTGAAACAAATTATAGCTGTAACATTGACATTGTCAGATTTTTATGTAGTAATTTGACTTATTTAAGTATAGTTTTAATAACGATTTTATATATTATTAAAAATGTTTATTATCAAAATTAATTTTTATTAAAACTTGTTCTCTTTTTCTCAACTCTTTCTCTTAAAAATAAAATAAAAATTTCTGAAACATATTTTTATAATTACTTCTCTTTTAATTAAAATAAAAAAATAATTATATATCAGGACTATTCCCGTTTCATTCCAGATATGCCGATCCTGAGTTTAATAACGAGCCGACAGTAAGAGAGCAACACTTTTATCGCGAAGGGAACGCAGAGGTGTTGCAATTAGTAACTCGAGGACAAGTGGAAGATACGAGTCAGCATCATTATCCGACGACTTTTATAATAGACGGCAAGGATGTACTTCTGCAACGATTTATGCGGGATCAGAAAACGCGGCAAGAACAGTCAATGCAGGAACCCGAGATGCTACGCACAGTCGAGTCTCATCAACATCCGAGAAATGTATATCAACATAAGCAGGAGATTCTTCTGCTACCGGAAGAATTGGAAATTGTTAGACGTCGACGAGCGGACGAATTGGATTCTAAGACGCAAAAATTGGCGATGGATGATGAATATGCGGCGCAGAAAATGGATTTGGAATCACAAATGCGAGACATTCATCGTCAAGAGATCTCGATAAATATGCCCGAGATGTTGGATAAAACGTCGGTCTCCAAGGATCAAATGAAATCTACAACGATGCAATCGCACGCGTTTCATGATCTGGAGCTGGCGAGACAGAACGTCTTGCTGACACGATTACTTCTCGAGAGAGAATCAAGATACGCTGGTGGCATCGCGATGGACACTGTAAGTTACTTAGAGACTCAAAGTCTTCCCGGACAAGCGGTCATCGCGACACAGACCGAAAGAGCTGCCGCGACTCAAACGGAACGATACATTCGAAGCAGAAGCGACAACGACGAGTCGGACGAGGATAAACGAAACCGGAAGAAGATGAAGTCCAAGAAACGCTACGATGAGGACAAATTGAAGAGAACGCGGACCTTATGGATGAAGTCGCCTATCGAGGAAGAGGAGAGTCCGTGCTTCGACAAACGATTGAACATTTTGAGGAAGAAAGTGAAGGAAGTAAAAGAGGGACGAAAGGTGTCCTTGCAGCCTGGAGTACTGCGGGAAATATCGGATTCTCTCGACGAGAACGGAAGCACTTGTCGCGAAAAAGAAGGAAAGTCGGCGAAAACTTGTCAACAGCCCATCGAAGAGACTAGCATCGCATATAAAGTGTTGCGCGAAGGTAAAAATGGCTCCTCTTCGTCTATAGAGGAAAGACAAGACGAGAAAACTTTCGACGAGAAGAGACCCGAGAGCTTGTCGTCGCCGGATATAAGTATTGATAATAGAAAATATATTCACGAAACGATGGAGAAAAGGAGTTCGAGAAAAGAGAGTAAAATAAAGAAACAAAAGAAGGTGGAATCCGTGATAAAACCTAGTTTTCGGGTTTTAGAAAAAGAAATCACGATGTTGACAAAGAGACTGAGTAAACTCGCCGACAAAAAGGTACAGGAAGCCACGGGGGACGAGAGCACGAGTCAGGAAAGGTCGAGAGATTTCAAGAAAGAGTCAGATCTACATACATCGAAGAAAATAGATGACTCAAAGAAACGCAAACAGTCTGAAACTTCTCCAAGTGCAGCAAAAGAGACGAAGACTGAGAAATTTAAATATTATCAACCGCAGGTTATAAGTCCCGGCAGTACCGAATACGAAGATCCATTTGAAAAACCGATGAAATCGAAATCGGAATTTCAATCGTCAAAAAGTTTTCAAAAAGTTGCAAAGCACAAACAAACAAGTAGCCATACGAGAGCAAAAAAACAAACGCAGAAAGAACGTAAAAAACAAGTCGCACAACAGGATCGAGAGCTCGAAAAACGCAAGGATGCCGCGAGTAAAGAAAGTGGAAGATCGAGAATCGAGAAGACTGCTATTCCATCGCGTACACAAAAATTAGCAGCCATTGGCCGTAAAAAGCATGTTTCGGAAGAACTCAGCACGAGTACAAGTTCCGATCGAATAAACGGTAAAAAGGATCTATTCGTCAGTCGAGATTCTGAGAAGAGAAGCACAGAATCTTCAGAGATTTCATCGCATTACGCGGATCAGCGAAAATCGAAACAGAAATTAGATCACGTGAGTGAGAGATTCTCCGATGATTTTGTATTAGAACCGCAGAAGAAAGATATCGATCGGCAAACCGAATTTCAGTCAACAATGGATATAAGCACGCATGAAGATGTTGCAAGCAATAAAAAAGACATCCAAATAATGCAATTTTCAGATGATTTTATAATAAAACAGATGGAAGACGGGAAATATCAAATACAAACTGCTATTGAAAGTGAGATTGAGCAAAGTGCATCTCACGATATTGGTAAAGATCATGTAACGCTGAAAGAAGCCGTTGAAGATATCGCATTTCTTCAAGATCTAAAATATATGCAACCAGAAAGTGAGATAAGATTAGACACTGCAGAGAAACAGCAATTTCAAGTGTCTAATACAAAAGATTTCGAGGACAGCAGAAAAAGGACACCGGAGCCTTTAGATTCTCCTGTCTTAGAAACTTTAAAGGCGCATCAAATAGAGAGACCGTCATCACATATTGAAAGTGATGTCAAAGAAAAAAAAATTTACATATCTGAAAAACCTGAGGGGAAAACAGAGAAACCTTTACATGAAATCGAAAAAGAAAAAGAAAAAGAAAAAGAAAAAATTACATTAGGAGATGTTGTACACGAATTAAAGGTATTAAAAGATGTCGAGAAAATTATGAGAAAGGAAGTAGACGTACCGGAGCAATATGTAAAAAGTGCAAAAATATCGAGTGATGTACATCAAAAAATTACATTAGGAGATGTTGTACACGAATTAAAAGTATTAAAAGATGTCGAGAAAATTATGAGAAAGGAAATAGACGTACCGGAGCAATATGTAAAAAGTGCAAAAATATCGAGTGATGTAATGAAGTATCACGTGGAACAAATAGAAGAATACCAGGACGAATTGTGTAGCGACACTATCGCATCATTATCGGAGGCAGAAAAAGATTTAAAAGACATTAAAGATGTTACACACTCATTATATCTAAAAGAGAAAAACGAAATTATATATAAACGTGAAAATGATCAAGAAGAGAAATTAAGTCTTGAGTCTATGAAAAAACATAGTGAAGAGGAAATTTCTTCAACAGAAACTGCAATAGATGTTAAACCAAAAATAATAAAAGAATTAGTACAGAAAGAGGACAAAGAAGACTTGCTACAGAAAATTAAAAGTGATGATGAAATAAAAATTACAAAATCAGATATCGATGGGTATCAAAGTATTATTGAAAAACCAGAAGAGATTTCAAAAGAATATGCGACTCAGGATTCAGAGAAAATGGAGAAAGACATAGAATCAATCACTGAAACATATGAAAAATTATCTTCTCAAGATGATTCTGCAAATTTAACTGGCGTTCACCGCGCATTTTCAATCGATGATCAATCATTAAAATATATTGATGATACTAGTCAAGAAGATTTCAGCCCACCTGAATCTAATGAAATATTATACATTATAAAAGAAGATACAGACAAATTGAAGAGCTCTGATGAGGATCTCATTGCAAAGACAGGCATTGAGAGCCAAAAAATTGAAGAAGAATCGCATATGGCGTCTCAAGAAATATCCGATTTGCAAGAAACAAAATTAGACAAAACTATTGAAGATGAGAGAGACAAGCCTGTCACATCAACAATATTTACTACTTCTACAGAAATAATTATCGATAAAGAAGAATTACAAGTCGAGCTTGCAAAAGAAGAAGAATTATTTCTCGAACATAAAGAAAAAACGGAAGAAACATTTGTAGTAAAGGAAAAATCTGATGAAGAAGTAAAAGAGGTACTTGATAAAGAACTTCCTGTTGATCAATCAAAAGATACGAATCTAGAAAAATCAACTACTAGTGAGTTGGAAAAATTGGACAAATCTGCTACAGTTGCTGAAATTGCAGATGTTGCAGAATCACGAGACAAAGGAGAGGACCATGCAGACGTAAGCGTTCCAATTTTTAGAAGCTTTATTGATGATACAATCGATGTTTCGGAGGAGAGCGACTCATCCAGTGATATTTCCAGGAAAACAACGCTGACTACCAGACCCTATGATACTCCGCGCCATCGGCAGAAATGGCAGCAACAAGAAAGCATTGAAATAGCGGGAATGCCTGGAAGGACTTTTAAAGATGGAGAAGATGCAGGAATAGAAATCGAAACAGAAGAGGAAACAGGCAGCAACTTATCGCTCGATGAAATTGAAAATTTCGAAGACTCGATCGCGATCGAAGCAACGATCAGTGAATCACAGGAAGATACAGAGATCGCTACATCCGAAAAAATCTCTTCCGGTGAATTAATTTTGTCCGTAGATGATTCGGAAAAAATAAGTAAAGATAGAGAGGACAGAAATTTTGAGACAAAATTTGAAAAATCAGAAGATAACATAAAATCGGATATGAAAGATTTATTAACAACAATCCAAGATACGGTTCTTTTGACTGTAAGCGTTAAAGACACTAAGGATGAAATCGTTCCGATAACAAAAGAGGACGTGGAATGTAAAAGTGAGATTGTTACCCCTCGTAAAAAAATTGAAGAAGTTTTCGAACCTATGCAACAAAATGACAAAAGTAAAATTAATTTGCCTTCGAAACAAACTGAGAAAATAGATCTTGCAGAAGACAGAAGAAGAACTGAAGATACCGAAGTAAATCAAATGAGAATAGAAAGTTCCTTGGACAAAGGCAAAACTAAAGACATCGAAGTAAATAAAATAAAAAGTAAAGATAGTAAAAGTACTTCGGAAAAACATGCTGGAAAAACGGAACCTTTTGAAAACTCTGCGAAGAAGAAAAAGAAATCTGAGCGATCGACGACGCCTTCACCTGGAGAGAGAAAACGCGTTCTTGACGAAAAATCAAAGGAAAAAGCTACGCCGAGTCATTCTCATCATCGATCTCGTAAGTCGATTAGCGGGGATTCAGAAAAAAAATTTAGAGACGGTAGATCGCAGAAACAACCATCACGAGGCGAAGAGGAGCATCCGCAAAAACAAGCCTTGCCTAAATCAAAATTCAAGAAGGACAAGAAATCGATAATTGTCTCGAAACCTGGTGAGATCGACACGAGTAAAACGCAATCAAAGTACATGGCTTGGTATAATAAAAAACGCGAAGAGGCCGAAAAGAAGAGATCGGAGAAGAAAACGACTGAAGACGAGGAACAGTTACCACGTTGGGTAAGTAGAAGTTTGAAACAAACAGCGAAGCAAAGAGAGAAGCAAATTATGGAACACAAGACTCCAGAGGAGACGCCGCATACGAAACGTAAGGTCAAACCTTTAGTGAACGTCGAGTCCGAGCAATTGAAGGCTATCGTGCGCCAAGGACGACGATTGAGAAAAGCCGAGGGTTATTTCGAGGAGGATCCGCCGATCCAGATATTCGCCAGAACACCCCCGATTTCTACGGACACTCAGCATCGTTTGGTGCAACACTCGGAATACAAATATGAGAAAATACCGCCGCCCTTTTACCTTCACCCACCTCCGCCAGCTCCGCATCCATCGCCGCAACTGTCCCCGGAGAGATGTCTCGAAATACAACCATCTACGTCGCAGTACGAGCAATCTGAGACCGAGTTGCGTTCCGAGAGCATCATTGCACCGTTTCAAAGCGGTACTCGTTTACGTCATCAACAACTTCTCGAAAAGAAAAGTGTCTTCGATATTGCGTACAGTGAAGCCGCGCCATCGCAACTCCGATCCGACAGCGCAACTCCACCGTCTTAATTTTCTTGGACATTAAATATTATGAATTTTTTATACAAGAAAAAAGAATATATTATATAATATAAAAATAATTATATATACAAAATATAGTATGTATAATTATTTATTTGGTAAATGTTATATACAAGTGTTTCAGAAGGAATGGTCAGCATTCAGGATATGATTGTATACGTAATTTTAAGTAAGAAAGTTTATATAACATGTGTTCTATTCTGGATTATAAAAATACAACGTATTCAGTTTTAAGAACGAATACATTCATTAACTTATTAAATTCTATGAAATAATTACATTAAATTTTTAGCTTGCACATTTGCTTTAAATGATGTCTTTATCTATAATCAGGTCTTAAAATATTGATCATTTCTCCTGAAATACACTGTATATAAATATTTTTATTTTCTCATATCGTTTAATCTAACCGAATATAATTAAGCGCGCAAAGCAGTTATATTATTCTTTAATAATAAAATCTCAAAAATTGCAGCGTATGCATAAAAATTATTATTGTAATGCATGAATACAAATATATTAACTAATTATGCAATGCATAAAAATTTAATATGTAAGGCTTCAGAGAATGTAAGCAAACTAGATTTTTTTTACAAGAATCAAAATATCTATGCTTCTATTAGACTCAGGCATCTGTATGAACACATCCTCTACGCTGCACGTGTCGTGCTGTCAACATCTCTCTATCTCTTCTGTTGAATTAGTACACCCCAAACGTCTGACACGCTGCGCGCCTTACGCGAGACTGATTCTCGTTCGAGGCAAGGCGACTCTGGCGACTGCGAGACTGACAATCACGTGATCAATCTCGCGCGAACCGTGCAGCGACTGGTAGCGTGACATGTGTATGGAGACGCGCGAAAATTTTATTTTTGTTTGTTCTCTCAAAGATTTAAATATTGATTTTTTATGCATTACGTAATTAATTAATATTTTTATACATACATTGCAATAATAATTTTTATGTATGCATAGCAATTTTTGAGATTTTATTATCAAAGAGTAATATAACTTTGCTTCACGCATGTAATTATATTTGAGTAAATTTACAAAAATGAGAAAATAAAAATCTTTATATACATAGAATTACTTCAATGTATTTTTATTTGCGCAATTTTACGTCGATTAAAGTAAAATTTTCTATACATACATCTACATATCTACAATCAGAATATAGAAAAATTTAATGTCTTGTACATATATTTTATAGCATCATCTTTTACTATTTTTGGCATTAATTTATTCAATTACTTTGTTGTATCGAATTTGAAAGATGAACGATACTTACCACGATTATTTAATTTCATACAGAATAATCGTCATAATCTTCTCTAATAGGTTTAAAATATTTCCTGCAAAAAGCAAGAAATATATATTATATAACTGTCCGTAGTATAGTATAGTTTGTTTACGTTACTGCCAGTAAATAATGATATAAATGTATCTTTAAGTAAATGTAATGAACTGGAGCGATCAATTTGATATATTATTATTCTAATATAATAATGTTTATATAATATAGCAATTCTTGTAAATATATATATGTATAAAAATGTACATTCCATGTAATTAATATCCTTCGTTAATTTTATTTTCTTTGTTTCTTAACATGCCTTTTTTATAAAAGGGATTAGAATATTCAACTTTTTTTATAGCTTATGTTAGAAGGAAAGTCTCAGATTTGAATAATCTTTTGATATCAATGTTTGCAATATTAAGAGATATATATTTTTCTATTTGTGCTAAAGTAGCCGTTAAAAAGGTAATAATCTCTTGGAAAAAGTCAGTTGTTATATATGTTGAGAAAAATACTATATTATAAAAGATATAACTTGCTGAAACAATAAAAGATATTTTAATAAACTTGTATGAAGGAAATATATCGCCGCGACGACACTGACATTACAATAATCATATGCGCATGGAGGCCAGGTAGAGCCTATAGCTTTCTGTCACTTCTGTTTTGCTGCTACAAAAATATCCTCTGTGTCGACTTTACCAACTCGCTATCTTTTACTGATCAATTTATCTGCACTCGATGTATTGTCTGCGACGAATACCTGTATATACAATCAGCCATTATCAATAGAATAATGATAAAGCCGACGTAAGAACATTCTTCATTATCTAACTGCAATATCAAAAAAAGATAATATATATTGAACATTATTCTCATCAAATAATATTAATATCATTCGGAATAATGTAAAGTGACTAAACAATTTTGTAAACTTAATTTGCTTTGATAAAAAATAAAAAAATGTAAAATCCGTGACAGAACAATCTTTTCTCCACTTTCTAAACATAATTTTTTATAAAATTTAGAAAATTTAACATTGTTTATTATTTCCAAAATTACCACCGACATCAGCTTCACCCAGTGTGCGTCGAGATTGTATGATTGGATTTGTTCTTTACTTTAGAGTAAAGATTCAGCTTTATCACGCTATAGAGCAAAGATTTAGCTTTAAGAATCCATTCTTAAAATTGCTGTGCAATGATTTTTAACGGAGTTATGACGATTAAAGTGAAAATGACATTTTCTCTTCAATTTGCGATAACTTGATAAGGAAAGATCGAAATTTAAATTTTAAAAAACGATTTTGCAGGGAATACTTCAGACTTTAACGTAAAAATGTCAACAAATTTTTTCAAATCTTCTTGTATATGTGACATGTCTACAAAGTGAGAAAAAATTTTCTATTTTGTTATGTTTGTCGTTTTCTGTATGTAAAAGATTTCAGAATTGAAGAAAATATAAAAAAGCTATGACCTTTCGAAAGTAGAGATTTCCAGCTTTAAAAGCCTTTTTTAAAATTTAAATTATCATTTTCTGAAACAAAGTTACAGTTATTTAAAATTTGCTTATTTTTTGAACAATTTCTTTTGATCGCTTAATTATTTTGACGAGTGTATTACATTCACTCATGCACGCTATACTTTATATTACACAGAATAATTGAAAAGAAATTGAAACATACATAAAAAAGAAGCAACACATCAACATGCATCTCTGAGTATTCTGAGTTTTTAACGTTGAGAGTAAATTTTACATGCGCGCAATATCAGCAGTTATTAATTATTCGTGCTGCGAAAATGTGCATAAACGAAGCAACAGAAAAGCGAAATTATCTCTTCGTTGCGTGATGATAAATGCGTTTTCGAGAGTTCCTTATTCATGGATCGACCGGTCAACGAACGGCCGATGACGTACAAGTTCTCGACGCACGCGAACGATTACGTGTTTTCGCCGTTTTTGACGTATCGGCGATGTGTTGCTGACGACAAAGATGACGTTACCGATGCAACTAACCTACCGTAATCGAAAACATAATGGTGCATCAAACATAACCGGAGACTGGTAAATCTTTGGAATGGGAGAGCACGATAGACGAGCTAGTCGCGCCGCTTGTCCATGCAATCTCTGTGAAGTCTCCCGCCTGAGATCATCGCGCCTTTCTATCTTGCTACCACGTATGCTCGCCTGCTACTCGCGAACCTTATCAGTCGGCCGTTTGCGACACATTCGGTCCCGTTCAAGCTCACTATGAATGAATTGACAATTGGTCGTTCGTACAGGCAGCACGTAGATTTTTAAAAGGCCTGCCTCGTACATGTGTTACCGCCTCGAGATGGAGAACGAACTTGTCTAGAAAAGAAGAGACTTTTAGAGAATTGATAATAATTATAAATATATTAAATATAGTATATATAGAATGCATTTACTATACGAATTAAACTATTGCCTATTTATTGTACTGTTAAAAATATTGTTAAACAATAATAAAAGGGCTTTCATAATTTAAATGTATTTCAATGGATATATGGAATCAATATTGAATATTGGTAAAGTTTTATAAAATATAAATTACACAAGTTAATATATAGCGAAGAAAATGTCGATAAATAATATAAATAAATTAAAACATTTATTTCTCATTTTGTTAATTATTAGTTTTTCATTCTCTTATAAAGTATTACTATCATTGTAACAAGAGCTAGAGTATTTATTGATATACAGTGAAACGAATCTGTGAGCTATTAGAGCATTATTTTGCAATCTCACAGTATTACATTTTACCATTATGACAATCTTGCAAATTTACATCAAGATCATTGATTCTCTCAATCGTATCGATGCCACTCGAGGATCAACCATCTGAAATGAGAGCAGGATGATGCTATTTCAGCCGCGACAGTCAAGCGATGTTGCGCATTGTCGACGAAAGATATCTTCGTATGAACAATAGACCAAATGTTAATTGTTGTTAATAAAGAGTCATGTATGTTGCTGTTGCAACGGCGAGCAGAGCCGCGGAAGAGGCTGCACCTGTACCAGCCGTGCGCAAACACACCTGAAACCTTTGACCTTTTCATCGACTCGCTCGCCTCTCCTACTGGCGAGCATCGATTTCTCTCTCGTCCGCCCCTTCGAACCCTTCGTCAACTGTAATTCCATCAAGTACCGCTGCTGCACTGAACGCAACTGATGTCTCTGAAAACGAAACCGCAATCGATGCACTTTAACTTGATTACTCCGAGAGAAATACACGCCGATCGTGCAATTCACCTTTTGGCTTGCTTGAATACGAGCGAAAGGAATCGAATTCCACGGAAGGGTAGCTCTGGAATAACCATCGATACACACAAGAATTAAAATTGAAAATTTAATTAAACCACAGCACAATCTCTGTAATTAATTTGTAACAATCCGTGTAATGTTATAAAAGCAGCTACACACATCTTTATGTCGCGGTGTCACTTTCAAACAGGCACAAATTATAATTAAATAGTTTATCTTTTCATAAATTTGATGTATTTTTCTCTTATATACGTAAGGTGATAAATTTTAAATAGATGGTATTTACAAAAAATTTGCCCGACTCCACGTATCGCGATATTTCGGCGGGTACTAGTGAACTGTTGATCCAGCCCTGGCTGGATTCACACTATGCACTAGTTTCATTTAATTACGATCACAAGTACAACATATAAATGTGTACATTATATGCCCTGAAAAGTTCGACACACGTATACATAAGCGGAACGGGTTTAGCCCGGTCCTTAATAGCCATCAATCATTGCCAAAATTCGGCAACGCGTCGGACAACACGGGCGGCAGGATACCATCACCAAAGTAGAGTTCTTCGGGACCAACGGGACGAGGGGAATACGGGAACAGGGGAAGGGACCGAGTGAGACATGGAACCCGTTCGATACTTCCGAAAACTCGGCCCGACCATTCCGGTTGCGTTCACATGAATCCATCGTATCACCAACACAGACTCGAGTTCACGCGAGTACAAGCACTGACGTAAAGCGGCCAAGAAAGAGGGATAGTGGACAGAGTGAATATAAAGTACATGCTAACATTCTCTCCCTGAAATATTTAAACCTGTAATAAAAGGAAACAACGTATCTCCTTTTTATCACTGTTTTTTTATCAAAGTTGATGAATGAAGAAGTTTTTACGCACGAGATAAATTTTTAAAACTCATTAACTGAGGAAAGACTCCAAGATTGTTAAAGTTCTTTTTCAAACAAATAGTAAATTAAATATATATACATATATATAAACCATTTCATAATAGTAAACTATATTTATGATACATACTTTCTGAGATTATATTTATGTAATTTTAACTTCTCTTGTATAAAGAGAGATATGCATGGAGATGAACCTTTTGATATTTCATTCGTTCGACGATAAATATAAAAATTGAAAGCGCGTTTATATGTAACAAGTACTCACATCAAAACGTTATTTCAATTAGATTAAGAGCGAAACGCGATTATACGCACCCTCGTATCCGATGCAACGACTGATGCAGTTGACGCGATACTGTCGGCAACCAGGAAGCACGGGAGTTAGGGTCCAAAGATTAACCAAGGTGCCAGGGGAGCCGGCAACTTTACTTCCGGTGGCGGCTCGAGAGAGCGTGTAATTTGATATCGAGTTTCACGCTCGGCTCTCTGTATTCGGCGAGAATCTATATCCGGACTTCAAAGCGCGCCTCTGTGAACTTCCCGCCCGGGCTACGGGAAAAGTTTGCGCGGACACTTAATTGAAGAGCGTATCAGATACGCGCTGCAAATGCTATTTGCATTTCAAACGAACCAATCTAATGACACGTCTCGGTGACATTTATTTGCTTGCATAAATCATGCCTGGATCCGGAGAAAGGGACCGCGTTGAGATGCGCAACTTGCAATTGCCGAGAAACAATTCCAAAACTTGTGGATAAGTTGTCTCTAAGTACAGGCTGTATGTGCGCAGACCGAAAATTATGATTACTCTCTATATGTAGACTTCGATCCGAGTATCCTGTTTATTCGTTTGCATGCGACCAGAAAATTGCCATGAAATCGTGAATAATTGATTTTTCCATAAGTTGCTATTATTTATATCGATTGGCTGCTGATACGCATGCGGCAATAAAATTTTGTCATATATACGCACGTCACATAGTCCCTAAAATTGAACAGTTGTCAAGTTCACGACTATTGGTGACAAGTTTGTCACTCTGTTTCGTACGATCAAAGAGCAACCTTATAACAAAAGATCTTCATTTGGATACTTGTCAGCAGCTAGTTGGTACGTCCGAGAAACATAATATTATATTTAAAGAATTCTTTCACATTGTTAAAAAAATTAAATTAATATATAAGTATACATATCTCATGTTCTTTTCCAATAATGCGTTTATAAAATTTATGTATTATAACGTGCATTACATAATATCATCGCAAGCTAGTCGTCGGGGTTCGAGAAATTTTATATATAGATCCCTTATCGTTGCACATGGCGAGTCGACCGCGATAACATTTTTCGCGACGAAATAAATATTTACTCGAATTTGGAAGCTTTTCGGCTTTTGTTTGACGATGATAAGCGTGTATAATCTAACGATAAAGCTGCACCGCGTCGTGATATCTTGGCCAGGCCGTGCATGTATGTACATATATGTACATATACGCGATTCTCAGGTCGTCTGACGTAACGTACGTAATTGTCCGGTGTACATGTATCCGGGGAATATGCGAAACAAGAGTCGAGTATCCCAAGCGTACTTGCACGTAACCATCGTATCTTTTTGCGCGAATGCATCGCAGCTGCACATAAGATTTCATTCAAATTTTTCGGAATTTATGCCTTTTTTCAACTCCCTCTCTCTCTCTCTCTCTCTCTATTTTTCTTTCTCTTTAGGTATGAATCGCAAGAATAATGATCAGACGGAGATGTTTAAGAGAAGAGACGACATAATGCCTGTAGAGTATTACATCTCGCATTTGCTTGCAATATTTGGATATGGTCGAATCTGGCACGTCGACTCGCTAAGTAAAATGTTGCTTTCAACGGGAGCAACAACAATCTTCATTTTGGGAAATTTTCTGCTTCTACTCTCGGAAATTGTGGTACTTATGATGATCAACGATCTTAAAATATTTGCCAATATCATTGGAGTAATATGTATGCATTTGGTGGGCTTAATGAAATGGTGTTATTGTATAAAAGAGAGTAGCCAACTTGTCAATATTGCGATAAAGCTGGAAAAATGCCACGTACTTTGCCAACAAATCGATAATAGTGAAGAAGGTAGATAAATAAATTATTCAATTATTGTGTCTCAATGTATATACGTGTATGCTTAATTTATTTCTATTTAAAACTTTTGAAATATTACAAAAAAATGTTTATAAGACGCAAAAACATTTGAAAAAATCTATTTACTTTATTAATTATATCGCATGACTTTGATGTTTTTTAAACCTTTAATCAATATTCTTGACATTATCCACGTTGATTGTAGAATTCAATTCGCATGTTTCAATACCTATTTATTAATATTATATATAATATTTTTTTCATTGCACTAAAGTAGATCTTTTCATCAGGATGTCAAGTATATAGAAATAAAATGGAAAACGCACGTCGATATTCCAGTTATTTCATATATGGATGGACAAGTACATGTATTTATGGTATTCTACATTGGTGCTCCAATCCATTAATTTTAGGATTTTGGACATTAAAGCAAATGGATTCAACAAATCAGACATTTATCATAAGAAGTTTGCCGTATATTGGATGGTATCCTTTTAACACCAATAATATTCATAATTACATTTGCTTGTATCTTATGCAGATCATCGGTGGGATGTCTTCTGCGTTTGGAATTGTTTGTTTTGATTGTTTTTATGTTACCATGCTATTAATCATCTGTGCACAATTTCAATATATCAATACAATATTGACAAGAATCAATTTCGATGATAAGTATGACTGGACTCTATTTTATTGCGAATATTTTATAAAATAAATTCTCTCGATCATTAAAATATATTATTATTATATGTTTGCAGCATGCCAGAAGCAATGTTTATTCTCGAGAGAAAATTAAAGAATGGCGTGAATTGCCAGGCAGAGATTTTACAGTACTTTTTCATTAAATTACGTATTAAATAATAGCGAAATTATATTGATCAAGATTCATAATATACAATAATAACTTTAAGTTTCTTCAATCAGAGTTCTCTAGTATATATCTACATTTTGATATAAATTTTTGTGAAAGAATAGATATTTTACATATATGTTTAAAAAATATACATATATACATTTTTTTAGATTTTTAAACACATTGCAAACTTTTTGCGGCCCAATAATGTTCGTGCAATGTGTCGAAACATTAATTCTTATTTGTTTAGTCTCATTTGAAGCATCAACAATTAAAATTGCGGTACGAATTATTATACAAAATATTCGATAATATACACCTTTAAGATATACTTACTGAATACTCTGCACATTAACTTTATTTTTTAAATTAAATTATAAATTATATTTTTCACATTTCGACAGATGGATATGGAATCTATCTTCAAATTATGGGGTTTGCTCGAATACTTTTTAGCCGCTAATATTCAATTATATTTCTTCTGTTTTTCTGCTACTCGACTTGAATTTTTGGTTTGTTTTATATATGCTAAAATTTTAAAAATCCTTGTCTACTGTATCAAAAATGTTTAAATTAAAATAATGTACAGAAATTGTATTAATTCGTAATTAATTCGTTAAACATGTTATATTATTAATTTTAACTTTTATTTTATTTTAGGGCTTACAAATTGCACAGTCTGTATATTTTTGTGGATGGGAGCTTATCATTTTCAAAGAGGGAAAAGATCAATCGGAAAATTTAGAAAATAATTACAGAAAACAATTAAAATATCGGAAAAGTATTGGTCAATTAGTGCAAATGATTATGTTGCAAACACAGAGACCGATTGTTTTAACCGGTGGTCCATTTTATATACTTCGTTGGAAACTTACAGAGTCGTAAGTAACATATTATACACGGCGAATTCAAGACATTCATCTCTACAAACATCTTGATTTATTTATAAAATTATATATTTATTTGAAGTTTGTTTTCTTTTCAAATTGTCTATCAAAAAAAATTAAAAGGAAATGTTTCATTATTAGCGGTCATATGTGTATGTGTAATATTTTCTGATTACTGAAATTTATGTTACAGATAATTGGTTTGGCAATATCAAATTCTCTAATGCTACGCACAATCTCTGATAAATGAGTTAAAATCGATAGACATTTATTATATATACATATATTTTCTTCAACCATAAAAATTTAATCTAAATATATATGTATATTATGACAGTTTGATAATGAAGACAAATGCGTGTACGATAATTGATAATAAATTAAATTAAAGTTTTAATATATGTATCCTGCATATCCTATACCATTAAAAAATAATTTCTTGTCTAAAAGATAAAACAAAATGTTTGGAAAAAATTTCCATAAAATATTTTTTTTATAAAAATTTAAATATCAGATATGCGTATAAAGTAAATCTATGATTAAACGCGTTATTAGTGTACGAAATTAATGACTGTAATAGAAGCTTGTGTGTGAGTGTGTGATATTTATATTTGCCTAATAAAACGAGATAAATACATGACCCGTGCAATAGATACACTACTTAATATCAATTAACAAAATAACCGCGACAAAGAAATGTGAGTTATTTAAAACAAAACTTACAAAAGAGCTTATTTATAGTTATACACTTACACATTTTACGTTTTAACAATATTTTCAAAGACACATATATATGGTGAAATTATTGTTGTTATATATTAATAAGGCTTAGGAAATATTAAATAAAATTAATTTAAATGACTTTACAGATACGAAACAATAAAGATTCGAACTATTGATAACTGATTGCTTAGATAAATTAATAATTATATGAATTAATGATTAAAAATATTAAAATAAATATACATCCACTTCAAATTACTATCAAAGATTTCTCTTGCTTCGCATGTTAGTATTCTTGAATAATAATAGTCGCCTCTTGTTCAGCGCTCGTGAGTCATACCTCCATTGAGATATATAGAGCTGCGCAGTGAATGAAAGAGGGGGAGAAAGTGATAGAGGAGGAAGAACGTAGTGTGGGAGAGATTGTCGGCAGGGTGGGGACAAAGAGAGAGGATGCTATCCACCTACAACCGTATAAGAAGCCCGCGCTTCTACCAGGAGCGCATGAATAGCACGAACGTCGAGGCTTACTAACTCATTCACATGTTATCTTATCACAGATACTACGTGTCCCGACGAGGTTGGATTCCGCGAGTGGACTCGCCGCGACGACTTGCCTCTTGCTGCGTCGTGCGTGCCTGGCATACGAAAGTTGAGATTAGAATGCACGTGGTCACCCTTCTGGAATCTCGGTCGTTTTATACTGACGAAGACGAGATGATGATCAGAGCTAGTAGCTACTGTCGCCTATACACCGCCCAGCATGAGTGGATGCGGCTTCCTCGAGGTCAGACTTTACCTACCGTTCTTTCTATATACATCTCGGCAAAGCTGCTGATACTTGTATGGGGAGTTTTTATTTTATTGTAACATAGCGATACCTCTGATCGAATCAATAAAAATACATAGATATATTTAATTATCTTCGAAAATAATTAATAATTTTACACACACACACACACACACACACACACACACACATACATGTGTACGTATGCAATGTATGTAATGTATATGCATATAAGTATATGTACGTGTATGGATCATAGAAAAGATGCTCCGAAACGTAGAAGAAATAGGGAAACAATCTTTAATTATCGAACAAGAAATCAATTACTTTTCTCAAAACATATGCTTTATGCAGCTATGCATGTAAATTTATGTCATCAAAGTCGGGCTTCGTATGCAATATATATATTTACTAGGTTCTCGTGGCTAGGTTTTTCATTCTTGGCCTGGCATGATACCCTGTTCGCACATCCGCGAGTCGCGAAGTCCTTGCGGCGACATTACGCGTCGTTCCGCGGTCGGCGGCGTCGTCGTTAACCGTCGAAGGTGATATTGAAAAAGGTGGGAGCTGGTCTTTCGTCGCGCGATTAAGTCTCGATGCACACGTACGTGTCGTTAACACTCGCCAAGACTCCTCACCTGCCCATCAAAAGACGTAAAGTCATCCACATTGGCCAACCATCGAACCGGGGAGCACGTGATCGAGGAAGTAGTCGCTCGCCGCGTTACAATCCTGGGTGGGAAGAGTCACGTGACCTGAACTCGCTTGGGAGAGGGACCAGAGTGACTCAGAGATTAGCATTGCGCCAGCCGGCACCAGCACGCTCGCATGTTCTCTTCGTCGTTACTTGGCGAAATGTGGACGCCTTTCGAGAACTGTTTTTCTTGGCACCCTGAAGTGTACCCCGGATGGAACCGATCGTCCGTAAGGGCGTATCGTGGAACCTTGACGAAGCTTACAACGTGTAGAATATATATGCCCTCGTTCGAGCACTTGTGGATAAAGCCGATGCCTGCAGGAGTGCCTCCAGTATCGCTTTCCCAACTGAAGTTAACAATGCTATTTTTAAAATTGAGTTATAAAGAAATTTCTACTTTTTTATTTAAAAAAATAATTGTATTAATGATGATTTATCAAAATTGAGTAACTGCCTCAACTTTTTTTTTATTTCTGCAACTATTAATTAGTACTGCGTATTTTTTAAGAGATAATTGACAAAATATGTTTGACTTTTCTATTAAAATTTAAAAAGATATTAAAATATATATTATAGAGTATATATGTTCTGTATAACGTTTTGAATATTTAAGAACATATCTGAATATTTAAAATAATAGTAGATAATATAAATAAACGTATTCTGATTTAATCTTCTTCATCACTGATTATTATGCGAGCTAATTTAGGGCGCTCAGATGGCGCATTAGATAATTCTTCGTCATCGCTAATTATTATGCGAGTGCTATTTGTCTTAGCATTATCATCTTTTAGCGATTCTTCTTCCTCGTCGCTATCAAGTAATCGTCGTTTCTTATTAAATGGTTTATCTGTATCAGAGGAATCGGATCGATCTCTTTTTGTATCGTCTGTAAAATAATATATGAAAATATAGATTAGCATTGACCTACAAAGAGGTCAGAGATCGATCAGTTATCTTTTATCAGCATATGTTACTCACCGTTCTTATCATCAAGGTTTCTTTCAATTTCCATTTCCGAGTCTGAGGAATCATCGAACATTCTTACGCGATTTCTCGCATTGCTTATGTTATCTGAAATTTTAAATTATAACCGTGTTATTGTCTGAAAATGAACTTACTAAATAACACATTTGTCGGTAAATTCGTGATAAAGGAATACCAGTCTACTGACTAGAATAACAGAGGGCGAGAAAATGTTATCCTATATGCTTCATTAAAACAAAGCTTAATTAATTGATAGTAATATACCATTCGTTTCTTCTACAACTTTGGCTTCATCACTTTTCTCCGCAACTTCCGCTTCGCTACCTTCTCCGCTTAATTTCGATAATTGTTTAGATTTCTGAATCTTAGCACGAGGTTTCGATTGTTTGGAAGTTGATGGTTGCGGTTCTGAAAATAATTCGAGAGATTTGTAGATTTCTAGATATCATATAAAGTATTGTATTATATTTTTTAATAAATGTTTCGATAGGTTTTAATTTAAAAAATTTCAGAATATATTGATAAGTATTCGTCAATCTTATTATCCGTATAAGATGACTGCTCATACATATTATAATCTTATAGATGATTTTTAAAACATTTCGTATTAATATACAATATTATGCCAACACCCAATCCTTTCCAATATATTCTTTTCATCTGACAAAATGATCACATAATTAAAGAAAAACATAACTTTACCAACCTGCAGGTACAAAGAATTTTTTAACATTCTCAAACACGTCAACATCGTCTCCACTGTCATCCATCTTTTCGTCAATGTCAAAATCTTTACGTGGTTCTGGTTGTGTTTCTGCAATTGCTTCGGTAAATGATCTTCATTTGAAAGTTTCCTATCTAGTTTGTGTGTTAGACAGTGGCAGTATTCACTTACCCTCAACGACAAATTCACCGGCTAAAGCGTCTTCGACGAGTTTGTAGCGTTTCTGAATTGTGGCTGTAAGCATATTCGCCGGAATACGCCAATAAGATTCCTGGGCATCAGCCGGTGGCATAAATCCCAGGGCACGGAGAAGCTTTTGAAAACTCGGTGAATCCATCGCGGTCGACGAGTAATCTGTCAGTGGCACCAAGGGTATGCCCTCGGAGCTTTCCTCGTCACGATCGTCCAGAATGTCTTGCAGGGATTCCTTGATCCATCCCAACGCTTCTCTCATGTCTGATTTATCGAGATTTTTTTCAAACAAAATTTCCGCATTAATCTTTTTCGTTAATAATTTTTATTTCGCTTTATATATTCAGGATTAATCATGTGCGTGTTAATTTTTACATTACTTCAAGATATTCGTTTGTAAAGATATATATATATATATATATATATATTGTTGACATTACAACATTACACATACTTGTTGAATATCGGAAATTGCTGAATTACTTGTAAATTGATGAAGATGAACTCGCTGAATTAACTATAAATTTATGAATTTCGCAAGAAGAAAATTGCTTCTTTAAAATCTTGCGGAACGTGAATCGAGTATCGGTGAAAATATATATCCTACAAAGTGGCCTGAGAAGTCGTTTTTCCGACAAGTCATCATTTCTTTTTTTTTTTTTTTTTTCACGTAATGGTTTCTGCAAATCATCGCCTATACCTCCCTTTTTTCTCCAAGCAAGAAGAACATTTATCCTGCGTGAAGGAAACGAGGGACGGCGCGCGCCATTCTAGCGCGACAAGTGCGCTTTCATTAATCACAAAAACGCGAATGCAGGTCGGGCGGAAAAACATGAGAGGGCAGCGATACTCACCCCTGTCGATGACGTCCTTCAAGAGACCGGATAATTGTGCATCCGTGTAAACGATCGTCGGTAGCTTCCGCCTGTTCCGTTGCTTCTTTTTCGTCGGCTCCTCGCTTCGACGAGGCGCGCCGCCGCGCTTGGAGGATTTTCGAGTTTCTTCGTCGTCTTCGTCGTCTTCGTCGTCGGTGGCTGAACTTTCGTTCCCGTCAGAATTACTGGCAGCTTGCGTTTCCCACGACGATTTACCTTTGCGCACAATGCATGGAAACGATGTGAACCTTTCTCGAGCGTTCATCAGCGTATGTAAAGCACGCTGCACAGTGTCTGTGTGTACGTGTATGTGTGCAGGAAGCATTTCACGTAACATTAGATAAATCTCGAGCGTGATAAATATTAAAGTCTACGTATAAAATCCATAACACTCTGAATGACAAATTTCTTCTTTTCTATTTCTCGCGTGAAAATCTCCGAGATGTAATCCCGCGCGCGATCTAAATTTATATATATGTGGATCTTGGATCTTTGCCCACACGTCGTGCACAACTTCTTAAAACTTCTTAAAACATGTTACCTTTTAATTAGATTAGATGTGATATAAATCTGGGTGCACTTTTAGAACTGGCAAAATATTAATTATGATTTCTGGCCGTTGCTGATAGAAGAAGAAAGCATTTGTGGAGGATAATCCTATATATGTGGTTAGCGAAATTGCATCAAAACATAACGTCGAGGAAAATATTATTTCAAAGACACATGAGGTGAACCGAAATTTCTCGGCAATGCTTCATCTCACAGCTGTATATATCTATGATATGAGCTATCTCAATGCATTGAATACAAATAAGGTATGGAGAGAGGCAAACAATATCCATGATAAATATGAAATTCCTTCCGGCGCCATATAATAAGAAGCTAAGGCGAGTGATATTGGTCCAAGAGCGGCAAAAGTGCGTCTGGAATTCGCAGTTGCTGATATTAAATAACAAAATTGTGTATTCCGTGATGATATCATTATGGATTTCGAATATGTACGATGGAAAAAGAGAGCGTAAATATTATTTCAAATAACTGCAAAAATTGGATGACACACTTTTGCTTGAAAGATTAATGGCATATTGCATTCAAATAAGAAAAAAATGTAGAAATATTCTAGATTTTTATACTCTGCATTTTTTATATATTTTGAATATTTGACATAAAAAAAGATTGAAATTTTTAAATATTAATTTTGAAATATTAAAAATTGTAAGCGAATGTTTAAAAAAAATAATAATTATAAATATACGATCATTTCTTTTACAAGATAAAATATAACTCATAAATGTATGTTATTATATATATTGGGTAGTTCGATACGTTAAACCACCAGAATGGCATTCGGTTCACAGCGCATTTCGACTCTGTATAATTTCTGCAACGTAAATTATTGCATAACGCATTGTACAAACGGAGGGAAGAGAGAGAGAGAGAGAGAGAGAGAGAGAGAAGTGAATTTAATACTAAATAATTTAACAAAAATACACACAAGTATGCATACACCGCGATTTTTTAAATTGCACAATATTCGCGACATTGTGCGTGAATATTTGAATTTGTATAACTTTACTACGTTCCTTGTTTCATAGTTGAAACATTTTCTCATAAAATCAATATTTTTGTTACAACATGAACTAATTATGTCAGCGAGCATAAATGCGCTTTGTTGAACGATATTTTGTTCTCTTCGTAGTATTGAAATCAAAGGCCGGAATAATTTGCGCGCACAGAGGCAAGAATTTTCGCAGAACCCCTTCGCTCTCGAGGAATAACAAAGGGAAACAGAAACAATCTTGCAAACATACGAACGAACTTGTCTCCGTTCGGTAATATCGACGAAAGGATTTTTTTTCTCTCTCCGCGCGATCCGTCGAAGAAATCGGGAGATAGAGCAGCGAGAAGAATCCTGTACAAATTGATCTTTGCTCCTTCTCGCTTTTTCTCCCGCGCATTCTCTCCATCTCTATCGTCGCCCTGTTGAAAGCGAGCCGCTCTATGCTCAGTCGCCAGCAATCGCGTTACTAGAAGACTGATCGAATGGGAATAGTCGCGGAATCGGAGGATAGTAAGAAAGACAGATGCGAATGGAATGGGATGGGATTGGCCGGAACAAGGGATATGCTCCAGACTGGATTGTGATGAGGGAGGAAGAACGAATAGGTATACTCACCCTGGTTGCTTTTTCTGGCTCGTTTTTTGCGCAGCTCCTTGCGATCCTGCGCCAATCCTAATTCCAAAAGCTTCTCCTTGATCTTCGGCTTCGGCCGCTTTATTCTAAGACCGGTGAAAATCAAATCCACGGGATCTGTCGAAGACATAAGTGTAGTTTCGATGTTTATAGCGTCGTCAAGAAAACGGTATGGCCCGCGGATGATAGGGGAGACTTTGTGCACGCGAAGGGAGATCGAGACGATTGTTGGAGATTTCAAAGAGATTTAAAGTCGAAATCAATTAAAGCCTACAAAGGGAAACGCGAACGCTCTTTTTCTTTATTTCGCGAAATATATTTATAAATCAATTGAACGTCGGTCTTTACGGACTTCTGACTTACGGATAATTTAATTTTTCTCCAAGATTATAAAATAATTTGATATTTTAATACGATTTTCTACGATATAAATCTGTTCGAGATTTAATTTACGTTATGTGACGTTATTAATTTGATTTAAAAAAAAAAAAAAAAATGGTTCCTTATACGAAAGACGTGATATTTGTGCGAATATTTCCCATTTGCCGGTTGGACATTCTAGAGTTAACATCTGCGAAGTGAAAATACGATGGAATAAAACACTTTGCGGAGATTTTTGAAAGAAACGTGAAGAAAAATGCCCTTGACATTTCGCGGACATCTGAGAATTACGCCTGGCGTGGAAGCGACTTCGAAGATTAAAAGTTATGGAGAGCGGCGGATTCGTATGAAAATGAAACAAGTTTTACAAGACTTCTCTGAAAATGTCTCTGTCAGGAAGGATATTATTCTTCGTTCGTCCCAGCAGGATTCGAAATTATTACTACAAGCAGCCAAGCGTGTCCGATGTTCGGAGCTTAATTAAATCCTAGGAATCGTTCCGGTGTTAACGAATTCTCGCACGAATTTCGCATTCACGAAATATTTCAACAGTTTCGGAACGCGAATAACCGGTAGAATTAACGCGAAAATTTATGGCAAATTTCTATCAAACAAATTTATATATTATCGAGAATTGGGTTAAGGCCATTTCACTGTTATATGTAATATTCGCAGATAAATTACAAATTACAATAAATGACAGTTACCACAATACATATATCGTGAGACTCTCGTAAAATTTATGTTATCAAGTTATAAACTTCGCTCTTTATTTCATTTCATCGTGGTTAATCATCACAATTAATTTTGATAATAGTATTTAATCGCGTTACAAATTGATATATTCAAAGATGAATAAATGCGAAATAAATGAATAATTTAAATGAGAAAATCAATATCGACTTTAATCAGATGTGTACTTTAAGAAAATGAACGGTTAAAAAAAGAACGAAGAAACATATTAACGAGAAAGAAAATAAATTTTGAAAATTACCGTCATCGTCCTTGAACTGTGTCCAAAGTTCCGTAAGCTGGGCAACTTCTTCCTCGGACCATTCCTTGGGCAGCCTCTTTTGTACCTCGGCTCGCACACTCTAATTAATTGCGATATTTAAAATAAATTAAGCTACGTGCTTAAAATGAAACAAATTTAAATATGTATTTTAAATTTCTATCGAAAAGATCATTTTGACTCGGCGATAATCGAACAATAATTAATTACATATATTAGAGTATCGATGTCCGAAGAGAATACAGATTTATGTACAAATTAGCACACTCGGCTCTCTATTCAACCCCTTACAATTTTTTCGAGAGATACTTTGCGTGCGCTTAATCCCCGGATTTGACGAGACGAAGTAAACCCGTGTATAATCTCTGCAGAAGCAGTTTCTAAGTCAGTAGGCGTATTTAAAAAGGAGAAGCCGGGATCGCTCGTTTTCCAGCGATTACTTTCCACCCTCGAAACGAGACTTCTACGAGAATCCCTAAATGGCCGTCGGAGCAATATCGTGCGACTTCCATGAACTAAATGAATGTCAAATGAATACTCGGCCCCGTAGTCTCTGATTCGACCGTTCTCTCTCTCTCTCTCTTCTGTGCTCGAAGAGACGAAACGTATTCACGCATGAAATTATTTAAATGAAACGTTTCCGCTGCTAAGCCTTTCTTGCCTCCACCAGAATCTCGCGAAGAAATCGATAATACGTTGGAGAAAACGTTTCCGCTGACGTAGCGACCCTCTTCGCCGACGACTGCACACTTATGATTAATGGCAAATTAAAAGCGGGGGAGAAACGAATTTTTCTTTTTCTTTCCGAGATCGTTACCGGTTAACATCGAGTCATTATCAAAAAATTAATTATATTTTCCGCGCGATCTATAGTCTCGTTAAAACAAATTATTATTATGAAACCGAGGTAAAATATGGTAATAAGAGCTATAAGTAGAACACGTATATTTTATTGTAAATATAAAATATAATTAATAACGCATCCTATTCACTGCACTTGGATTTTATTATTTCAAGAGAATCTTTATAATTGTATAATTACTTATGTCAAGTGTGGTTATAACAATAAGAAAACATTTTAGTGACTATGAGATTTGCGCGAGAGACTTGAAGAATAAAGATTGTAAACGAACAATCAGCGTTTTGCTTTAAAGTAATTATTGAAAAAAAAAAACAGCCAAAAACGCTGACATCTTCCAAGCGAATAAAATTTTTTGCTGAATCTCTTATACGTCGCATTTCATATCTACAAAAAACACAGTGAAATAAGATCCGGTATTGTGTATTGCATCGCTTATTCTCCGCTACGTGCTTTTTTCCCTTGTTAGAAGCTTCTCTACAAACTCAATTAATTTCAAGTTTTAAATAAGCCGGTAACTAGTTAGTAACTCCTCTGCCGCAATAAGAAGCTTGATTAACGCATTCCCATGCTTTATCACCGTATTGCAGCGTGTATTTTCAGAAGAAAAGAGTTATAATGAAGGAAAAAGAAATGCTTCCAAGCTTTAGCGGGATTAATATATCTATCTCGGAAAATATTCTTTAAAAAATGTTAATAATTTGAGAAAAAAATGATGCGCTCTTGCGGTTTCGAAGATGCATTCAACAGTAAATATTCTCCGGATTATATGCAACTGCAGCATGATATAAATGACTTTAGTAATTTGCATCACGATACTTGGGAATTAAATACAAGGTATTTATTATATTATAACTCGCACTCTCTGCTCTCTGAAACACAAGTAACACAATATCCCTTACATAACGCACACATTTACATTTCGACAAACTCGTTGGGTCGCGTTTTCTTTGTGTGTTCGTGCCCCGAAGGGCGATGCAAATGTTTATACGTATGTCGTAAAGGCAGAAGGCAAACAAAACGATAGCTTTTCTCGAGGAGGCGCCAGTTTTAGGGCCGCGAGTTGACGAGGGGACGCACAGATATTTCCTAGCTCGGAAAAAGAAACTGCCGTTTGGTAGAAGGAACACGCAGCTCACGTCGGAAGTCTCACGCAACCGCTCGCTTCGGTAGAAACTTGGGAGGAAAGAGAAACGAGGGTGGAAAGCTCGCCCCGTAGGTATTGTCTCCGGAGAATTTACAGTTCCTGTAGCAATTCCCGGCTCCATTTTTTGCATATGCTCGCTCCGTCGGCGGAGGTAGTCTAGAAACTTATTTTCGAGGCCTCCCTCCTTCCGCTCTTTCAAGCTTCTCGTAAATCATTGATCTTGTCAGACGGAACGGGACTGGGATTGCCGCGGGGACATATGAATGGACCGAGTACTTTTTTTCATGAGGGGGAAATCTTGGCAAAATCTTTCGAAACTATCTCTCTCATTCTTAGGAAAAATATTTAGCTTCAAGTAAATTACGATTTAGGTACCCTTTGACAAAATTACAGAAAGAAAAATGTCACTCACCTTAGAATTGACAATCAAACACATTTCTTTGAGCTTTTTAATGATGGTACGTCGCGTTCTAGCTTCATTGATGATGTGCTCCAATATCCAGTCGATCACGTCTATGAATTTACGACGCATTATAATTATTGCAATTCTTTTTTATTTCTAAATATTTAAAGAAATATAAAATTGGCTGTTAATTCAAACGATAATAATAAAATATTAAAGCTGAACGATTCATATTTCTTACATCTTTGCATGCAAAAAGATTGTTTGTCTCGAATGTTTTTTCGTAATAGGAAAAGCTAATCAATCAACAGTGCGGATCAACGAGACTCCTCCACGAGAAGTAAGCGATATAAAGAGTTTACCTTGAGGGTATTTGTTAGTCTGATGCTCCATGAAAAGAGTCCGTAGCTCGTCCTCTTCCGTCTCGGTCCAGACTGCTCGTGAAACTTTTCTGTTAGTCGTTTCCGCGTTGTAGCCATCCACAATTTCTGTCGCGTCACGGCTGGTCTTCCAGAAGAGCAGCTCCATGTACGACTTCCGGTTCTTCTGGGCGACTTCGATGAAACGGCGGATTATGAAGACCGCGAACTTTTGGACCTCCTGAAGCAAGGATCGATTTTTCGCTGCTCGACGAGTCCACTTCCGCGAGCCATTAAGTTCGATACAAGGACGAAATAAAAACCTCAATGGTGGAATTTATCGCGCGACGTAAAGAAAGGAAAGTTTTATCGCTGAGAAACACAGTAAAGTCTTATCTATGCTTTCATTATGCGCGAAAGAACGATGATAAAGTGTTATGCTACGAAGAAAAGATCTAGACTATATCGAACCAGGCAATAATTAGATGCCATCACAACCTGCGTATAATGTTGCTAATAATTATTTATCACACTGAACGATTCAATATAAAAGCGGCATAGTTACGCGATTTTATTTCTGTACTCTATTACCTTATATATAGGATCCTTTGATTCCAAGATTCTTTGAAAGACACGAAATATGGACGCTTGGAATATCATGGCTGGCATTTTGCAATTCCAAGCAATCCGATGTAGCATTTTTACTGCATAGTGATTTACTTCAATTGTATTGTCCTCGAATTTCTGCAGTAACAACGCTAAAGCTTTAACTATCTTCACGTTCGCGAACCTTTGAATAAGATAAATTACTGTGTTTTAGCAAAGGCACATTTACCTTATTGTATCGAAATATAGATATTATGTACGATATTTCATCATACATAAAATGTTTTTTTTTCCTTTCAATTTGAAACTTTGCTTTAACAGATTGCGTTAAAATAGCTACAAAGTGTGTAAATTGATAAAAAAACTTTAATTTTTTGTTGAAACAAAGGGAAAGAGAACAAGACTTTAAAGAATGAATTTTTTAAATTTTACTTTAAAATTTAATTATAAAATTAAATAATGTTTAAAGTAAAATTATCAAAAATTATGATCAAACAATATTTATAGATAAATGAATCAAATATCAAAGATTTTTATATTATCTTTTTATATCGTACCTTTGAAAGAATTCGTCCAATTTAAAATCAGTCTCATGGGAAACAATTTCTTCTTCTTCCTCCTCTTCATTCTGTTCTTCGTCTATTAAGAAGCTCATTTATATGTATATATTATAAATAAAAATGTATGAAGTTTTAAATCAAAAGATTCGATATTTATTTACCTGTTTCACGATTCACAGAATGTTCAACATCCCCCCCGTTTGGATTTAACGTTTCTTGAGTGACAGGTGGATCTTCTTCAACTATAAATAATTAAAATTAATTAAAAACATAATTTTTAACAAAAATTAGTCTAGTTGAAAGTAATCATTCAAAATGTTTGAATTGAACTTGATAATATTGTATAATCGTCAATAAAATCCAATTATTTTCTCTCAATTTAAATATAATTTTATTATAAATTTTTGGACAAAATAATTTTCGATATACAGATCGTAATACACAAATATCGAACCTAACAGTGCATCGATAAAGCATTTTAAATCATTGCGAAAAGTTTTCTCCGAGCGAGTTGTTGCTTCAACTAAAGAAAGCTTTTCTACCGTCCGAAGAATTCAGTTTGTCCAAGTGACGGTGACGGTGGTGCTATTTCAGTTTAAAGTTTTAATTGTCTCTTCTCCGCGGTCTGCTCAACTCGAAACAGTAATTCGAGATAAAATAAAGCGCTCCTCTGACTCGCGGTGTTTTTATCTCGGATTTTTAAATGCTTCATACCGTTGATGTATTAAAAGTGTTAACGGAAACTTTTGCTTTCTCAGCATGAAGTACGATTTCAGTATTTCCATAGATTTCTTCAAGAACTTTTCTTCCATTCGTAGAGAAATTTTTCTCTAAGTTCCCCCGGATAGTTACACAGGATGACTTGCAATGAGATAAAAATTTTTACGTCGAGAAGAATATTGAGAGCGAGATTTATATACCTTTATATATATATATATATATATATATATTTTTATTCAAAAGAATCTTGTCGTATCTTCCTGAGCAGGTTTAAAAAATTCATAAATAAATACAGTAAGCTTCGCGAATCCCTAACGGAAAGTAGGTGCATAAAAATGCATCGCTCGTTTTTTGTATCGTTTTGCGAAGAAGAGAAACTAATCTCCATATTTATGCACCCTTAGCGGAATCAAGTTCAACAAAGAAGGAAGATAATTCATTCCGTGATTATAGATCTCCAAATATTATATATGCAAAAGATTGTGCATTTAACGCGAGAGTTATCGGTTCGAGCACGACCGACGCGGAGAAGTTGCGTCGAAATTTGCGATAGCTCGTTGCGTTCAACTATCGATCGTCTCCCCGCAATTTCTCAGCGATACGTTCCCACGCACAATGTATTCGGCGAGAATATATGCGTGTATGTGTGCGTGTAGGCGTATATGTAAGCACCCAGATGTATGTGCAAAAGAGATCGACAGCACGTGGTACGGTCGCACGAGCTCGTTAAGCGGCTAATACTCATGTTTCAATACTCTTCAAGCATGTAATTTGCATATTTCGTCAATTAATTAAAATTCACATATTTACATATAATATAACTACTATTACGCGAAAAATAAAAAGTTGCATTTCACGTTTTTTTTTTCAACACATATTTTATTATTATATTCTATGACATCGTTAAATTTGTGGTCGTGTCCTCTGATCTGCAGCTTTTTTTTCCCACTCTTTAAATCCGTTTTTAAACCCGTAACGAAAAATAGTTGTACGTTCGGGCTGAACTATTCTGTGCATTTGTACAAAGTTTTTTCAAATTTACAGGCTGCCGAACTTTCCTCGTTAGTCATTCTGTCATCGGTCTTTTACGTCGTTTTTATCACGTTGAAATAGATACTTTACAATGATTGATACTACGTTATGCACACGTTAATATTACATAAAATAATAAGTGTCACGTTAAAGAGCTTAATTTCAACAAAAATTTACAACTTTAAATTTTTAATCAAACAAGTTTTGAAACAAGTTTCAATTTACGAATATGCGACTTGAAATTTGCGTATATTATTTTTCATTTCTGTTAAAGCAAAGTTTAAAGTGAATAAAAACTGCTATAATAATTTGAAATTCAATATTCCAACCTTTTCCAATTCCTCAAGTATACAATTGATTAATGTTTCGAAAACATACTTGGACAAGCGATATCGTTCTAATTATAATTGTAAATTAATTTGATCGACGTAGCGTAACAACAGGATCTCGTTAGACTCGAGATTGCGATGCTTCTCCTTGCCATTAAATTAGGCATTATCGTAGGCGCAAAGACGAGAGGCGCATTATGCGATTGTGTTACCTGGATAATAAGTGTTGTCTAACGCGTACATAGAGTAGCTAGGTAAATGGGGTTGCAGGTGGTATATCAGAAGTTGGGCGGTTGAAAATAATAGAGACAGAGGACGAGAGGAAAGCATGGCGAAGGATAGGAGTGGATGGGTTTATCACGGCTGAGACCAAAAGCCCTGCTACGCTACCTCGATGTAATTTGTGAAGAGATAATAACCGTCGTCCACGAGAACATCGTCGCGGTGTGTGCGCGCGCGTTGAAGAATTTTTTTTGCTTTTGTTATTATTTATATTATGTATTGCATTTAAAAAAGATAGTCTCCGCTGGAATTAAGATCCGTATCCATGAGCGAATTTTACCGAGATCGCGTCTCGAAAGTGTTTTAACGCTAGATCGAGAATTATTCAATATTATAGAGACGAAGAAATATAATTTTTTTTTTTTTTTTTTTTTGGAAATAAACGATTTCTTGTAAGCGCTTTAAATTTTATAATTACATAAAAACTGAACGTCGAAACTTGAGAGAGAAAGAGCGCAAGAAAGATGAAGAGAAACTTGTACCGTACATTTTACAATATTATATAATTTTTCCTCCTGTGAATCTTCACAATATCATCGCTTCTGCATAATTTTCAATCGCAAATACAAACTGATTTCTTTTTTTTTTTTTTTTCCTCATCCACACTTCTCAAAAGTATAATTTTTCTCATGAAAGATAGAAAGTTAATAGCAAGTTAGAAAATGGAAAATTAAAAGATAAAGTTTCGAACGGATGGATGTAAAGCAACTTTCTCAATAGAAAAAGTTTGAAATTTAAAAGGAGTGCAAAGCAAGTCTTGTAAACCATAGTTACTCGCAGTTTGATAAGAACTCGTAACCCACTAAATGAATCAACCACGGAGAGTAAGTTACTCCTGAAATCAAGGAAGAGCTATTTCAATGTTTCACTAGTTTACGACAAATTCATTATTGCAAGGAGATTTCATGTCTTCGGGCAGCGTGAATATCACGGAAATTGTAACCTTGATAACCCGCGTCTCGTTTCTCTCCCGCACGGAAATCCAATGATATTTTTGAACGAGGGAACGACGTTCAGCGCGTTCATTTTTCTGTAATTTCGAGAGAAGGAAAAAGGGAAGACGCTGACTTTTCCTCTTATCCTACATTGCGTTCACTTGTTTCCTACTCGTCTTGCTTGGAGGATCGGTGAAGTAGAAAAAATTGAGGCGACGCGACGACTGGAAAAAAGCACGCGGGCAAAAATCATGTTTCGAGAGAAACGCGTTTGAGAAATTACACTGATAATATTTTATTCATTAAACGTCGAAATGGAATGGTAATTGCGCTTCTTCAAGTATTCTGCAAGATAAAAATTTTAAATGCATTTATCCGAAACACGCTCTTTTTCCAATTTCAAAACCTTAACGTTTCAAACGTAATATACCTCGTTCGTCATCGCGATGGCGGATTAAATTAGTTAAATATAGAAAGCTGCAAAAATCTGTACGCTGCACAATACGATTCCACGAATAAAATATCGTTTTTTCGCTAACAGAATCCGGTTGCAAGATCTATCTGGAAAATATAGTTTTTTATACGAATCGAGGTCATCTCTGTGGCGTACATTTCGAGGGTTATTCCGTTTATACGTGCCGAAGAAGGAAAAAACTGACGATTGAAGAGGGCGATGACCGGAAACGAAATAGGGGAAAAAAACGACATATTATATCCGATATACGGTAGCGTATATGAGACAGCTACGAAGAGTCATCCGATTGACGTGTTTATGGCGAATTTGATGTCGTGGACCTAAACTAAGTCCGCAAGCTGTGCTTTGGAGGGTTTGCGAGCAACCCTCCCGAGTTCGACCCCTTCTCGAAGCAATCTGCTCGCAGCTCGACGACGCGCCTGTCTGAAATTTCGGTATTCAACGATCGTCACAGTCCGGTACTACTATTAGGCCGGTAACTACTTATTCAAACCGGATCGCTCGAAACGCCCACCTTCCTCGGTGGTTGTTGTTAACGCGATCACGTCCTCCCAGGTCCCCTCGCCTCACAATCTCCTCTCACCCCATTCCAACCCGACCTTTTTCTGTAACGATGCAAGCCCGGGTCTTTCCTCTATATACCCTTTTCCTTTCTTTCCTCCCTCGTTCCTCATCTCTTCCCGTTCCGCTTGCTCACGTTGTTTAGATGCAGTTTTATTGTGCCCCCAGGGTTCGTTGCCGCAGAAGCGGCATGACGTACGCCGAGCAATTCCTGGACCGGACGAATGGCGGACGAGATCGCAAACATGGCTTGGACTACGTATCTCTTGCGTATTTCGAGAGACCGATTCATCTCGCGGCGGTGAATAATAGATGGGAAAGAGGGAGAGAAATTCAAAAACTGCCTCGTCCTTCGTTATTTCATTATTATTTATTAATTACGGTCAAATTAATAATAAAAATACAATGTTGCGATGTGCGAATAAAAAGATTTCACATAGAAGGAAAGGAAACGATGTAAGGAGAGCGAGCAAAGAATATTGGGTTATAAATAAATATAAAATATGGGTTGAGATATCAATGTGTTCCGTGTGTTGTGTTTTCGTACGATAAATGATTCGATTAATTCGTTTAAGCATTTATCGGTGACGTAAATCCGGCAGAAAATTGGGATAGCCAAAAGGCATGCGGCACGCATAGGAACCGCCTATTAATTATTTATAGTAATGTGATATTGATCCGTCTGGCTACCTTCCACCGAACTGACCGCTGTTAAGCCCCATATTCCAACATCTCCGAAATGTACATATACGTGCACACAAATATATATTGCATGTATAATATCGGTACTTTAATGGCAGTGATGATCATCTATTATTAAATCGACTTAACTGTTTGTATAAATACATGGTTTATTGACCAACGGTTTCAAAGTCGAAATCAAATACACACCGTGTCATCATTTGTTT